TTAAATATTATAACAAAGAAATGCATAGATGATAACGTAGTTGGCCTTACCACCAAGGCCGTACTTTGAAAACACCTGTCTCACATTTCGTTAAAAATCACTCTAAGACTATGAAAGGGTAAACGCAACAATTCACTTTGTCTGCGACAAAAGGCAAGGATTTATTACTATATGATTATACAATTTATCATACTAATGTTATCGTCATCATTTTAGAAATTTTTCGTTTCTGTACCGACATAGATATTCAAACCAAAGTAAATAAAAACTTGATATAGTATTCAGAAGATATCCAAAATTCATTCACAATCTGTTATTTTCAATCTAAAGAAGATAAGAATTGTAATTCATTTCAGAAAATCATATTTCAATATGATACCAGTTATTCAGTTTATTAAAATAAAATTCTTTTTGCAATATTTTTTGACAAAAGTTATAGCAATAAAGCTTTGCTTTTCTTAGATTGTATGTTAATATTTCTTTATTTATTATTTATTTGTTTTGTATATAAATCATGTTAGGTTGTCGCATAGCTCTGTATATGCGAACGGTGGACTAACTCATAATCGGTGCGCGGGTTCGATCTCTCGATTCATGTATATGTATATATATATATATATAATATACGGAATTTAAATTTATACAAGATTCTCCAAGATAATGGATAAAAGATTTGACGTGAAGCTAACAACTTCACCGTGTAATAAAGATCTATACAAAAATACTAAATTTTAATAAATATTTGAATAGTATCAATTAACTAAATATTTACTTATAGTAAATAAATACTTACTCAATAAAAAATAATGGTTAAATCAAATTAACGGGGGTTCTTATACTAAATAAATATTATCTCTATATTAATAGGTAAATATTTAGTTGATACTGTTCAAACAAATGATTTATTAAACAATTAAAATCGGAATTCTTGACAAGAATAAATCAATTTATAGAAATAATTCTATTTCCAAAGTTAGTGTTTAAAAATATTAAATGCAAATTTTTACAAATATTATTTCAGTTTTATAGACTGCGTTAATAAGTCAAACTTGATTTATTAAAATTTAATACATTTTCAGTGTATAATTATAGTTTTTTTCGATGTTAAGACTATATATCGCGAATGACGAAAGACAAACAAAAACCATTGTTAGGTACAGACAGGAGAGGAGGAGGAAAAGGGACAAACATAAAGAGAAACAAGGATGAAAGACTGCAATAAGTTGAGGGGGGGATGGTGGCAATTTGCACTTGGCGTAGAGAGTACCACCGATATCTAGTATCCCGTCGTGTTATTACGCTCGAGATACTCCGAAGTAAGAGGGAAACGGGGTCCGGAGATGACTGAGGGTGCGGGAGAGATGGGAGGGGAGGATACAAGGTGTAGACTTACTTTGGACTTGGGTGTGGGATTACCGTACTTATATTCAGCTCTAAGATTAAGTTACCACTTTGCTTTACGGCAAGTGAACAGACCGCCTGCATATAGGAAGCCATCTGAGCACTTCTGGGACAGTCTGTCCCGTTCGTCTGGGTCCACCTACGAATAACAACATTCGTTCGTTCCAGGAAAAGTTTCACGACAGATCAACGACGTTGCTCCTTCACGTTAATCTCCCTCGAAATATCGGGACGTGAAATATCCTTTCGCCATTGACCGCGTTCTCGATCGCGAAGGGGAAAGAGCGTGAGCTTCTGGAAATAAGTCCTATCCGGGCCCACCCATTGCGCTTTCTCGCACTTGAAATACATCCCCGTTCGCTCTCCACATTATTCGCCTGGAAAGGTAACCGATCACACTTTAGCCGGTCGAAACCAACGAAATGGAATAAAAACCTACTGAAACGTGATGAAAAGAGGTACGTATAACACCGTGAGGGATAATTCGGTCAATAGAATTTAAAGTAAACATTCTATTGTACAAAATCGATTTCTTCGTATTTGAAGACACAAATGAGTTACAAGAATTGTTCGATGGAATATAATACTGAAAAAGAATAGTTACCGAATGATGAAATAATTTCAATTGAATGTTCAGTTAACGTAATAAAAAATAACTTTATTTTTTTAACAAACGATTGATTATATTAATTATGTTTGGTATATTATTCAATATTATAAAGAGAGAGATGTTTTCCACAGATACTTGATCTTCCTTCAACGAACATCACCTTGTAAGGCTTCGAGATAATCCTACTTGAAAACTCGCTATCAGTTTGCGCAACATACTTTACATTACAACGGTAGAGCAATAGAATTTTCGCATATAAGAAAGTAGAGGTACTGACTTCTGTGCGTGCTGGGGTATGCGCTGGACTTCCTAGCACCATTAGAAATCAGTACTACTCTTCTTAGCATTCGGCAATTAGAGTGCGAAGCGAAACAGAATCGTTCCTTGTGTTTCGTGCGAGTGTAATCGCGCTACCGAGGGATTGAGAAAAATAGGATAGAAATTAACGCACGATGAAAATAATTAAACATCTTTTTCCCTTTAATCTTTTTCATACATCATTGTAATCATCGTTTACCTGTACATTCGATTATTTTTCTCTTTACAACTTTGAGCAACACCGTGGCTCAAAGACGTGACACTTACATGATATTAAATCGATTCACTAATGTGGTGCTCTGCTTTATTAAATTATATAATTGTGTCTACTCGCTTCCTGCAAGTCTCACTCATCAGGAGATCTCTCCAGTATAACGGTCGTTATTATAATATATATATACCCATGATCAATGATCCGGCCCCCCCTAGTTGAGACGAATTAAGCGTCACAGTTGTATATAAATTATTTTGCCTACGCAACATATGCTTCCGCTTAGCAAGTTTAATTAAATATACAACAGATATTGTGTAAATATTTATATTTTTAATTGTCAAATTTATTCAGTGTTGGTAAGTAGCTCTGCTTAATTTAATTGAAAGAGAAAATTTATAACGATATGCAATCGAGCATTCAGTCGGTGAATTGTATATGATCGAATTACAAAAAATAGCTAACACTTTATTGAACTTATTTGTATGAAGAGGGGCCGTATCATTATTTTCCACGAGTGTAATGTTATACGCTTACTAACAATAAGTAAATATTACATACACATATATAAGTATAAACATACTATACTTTGCGAGGAAGTATGAAACATTAGAATAAATAACTTTATATTCATACACAACTCGGAACTATACGGTAATGACTGTGGCAATGGCGTAATAAAGGAATATGTGCCTATATACAATAATATTAAATTTGCCCGTATAAAATACAATGTACAAAATACAGGGCAACTCTCCTAATGTCTTATACGCGTGTCTGACGAAAAAGCGACAACAACGAGCACCCAGTTGAAAAGCGAGAAGATCAAGGACACTTGATACCCTCCTTATACAACGCAGTACGTACCAATTAAAACAAAATATCTACGAAAGAGACTGGATAGTAAAATTGTATAAATGTATGATTATGAATTTTACAAGACGCTTAATTAAAAAAAAATATATATATATATATTATATATATATATATATATATATATAAATCGCGAATAAAAAAAACATAAGTCGAATATAAGAAAAATTGTAATCCGAATTTTAATTTACCTATAAATAGATAAAGTCAGATTTTAATTTTATTTGTAAAAAATGTAACTTATATTTGAGGAATGAATTGATAAACTTAATATTTAGAATCCTAAATACTTACAAGGGAACTTTCCCCTGGGAAAGCCTGCGCCACTCATTTCGGTTTCACTCCAATTTTTATTTCATCTTTACTTTAGTAGTGAAGTATCCATGTTTTGAGAAAAATCCTCGATCTCGACCGTTTTAAAGATATTGTAGTGGAGAGGAGTGACCCCTTGATGCCCAACAGGGTCGGCGAAGTCAATTTTTTCTATGTATGGAGTTTCGGTTAGGGGAGGGTGGCGAGGTGGAGGGGTGACATTAATATTTTAGACTGTTCTTTTAGAATGTATGCGTTTTTATTTTCATGTTTTATAGTATAAACCAAATGTTGCTGCTCTTATTTTGTTTTTAGTTATAAAATTGTTCATTAGTAATTCGAAATTTAAATCTTTGGTAATATCCTGATACACGTGTAAAATTACTATATTTAAATGTTTTTGTAACATTGTCGCTCGAAGAAAATTTTTTAGACGCCTAAGCGCGGAAAACGACCTTTCGTTAGAACACGACGAACCCGAAATTGTTAATAGTATTTTAATTATAATAATTTAGTGAAACTAATTATGTGTTAATTAAGTGTTTATTAAGTGTTAATTTGGTGTTTACTTCTGACGAGGTTCTGACGTATATATGGAATTCTATAGCTTAAAAATTTGTATGTATGGAATGCTCCAAACCGATCCGACTGAAATCGCCAATGAACCCTGATGCCCAAGATTCGCTAAATTTTCGTTACTATTAATAATAAACTGATGAAATATGTGTCACATTAACATGTCACGAAGGACATCTTGTATCACAGTCGCACACAGTTAAAGTTATTGTATGTACTTTCATACACTGTCTTTAAGTATCACCCGTCTTGGATGGACGCGTCTTTGTCGGGTGTTTGTTTCCGTTATATTTTTAAAAAGTGTGGCCGACTTTGACTGTGCCTTGCGATTACTCTAAATCCGCCTAACGGTCCCGCGATTTTGGATGTCCCGTTCGTTCGTCCTAACGCGCGTATTAGTGGCGTGACGATGTCGTGGACGCAGGCACCGGGTGGTGCGGTTCTCGCCATTTTCGCGGGTTATTGTGTCACTCTTTAAGACTTTACGTTACTCACCGCCTTGTGCATTTTCGTTACTGGCCGTATTGACCTGGTTCGGGTCGTGTGCCATTCATTTAAGACTTAAGCTGTCTTTAAGTAAAAGAAAAGTCATGTTAAGAAAGAAAGCACATACGGAGTGTTTCAATTTATTTATTTATATATTTATTTATATATAAAAAAAAAGTTTTATAGAAAAAAAGAATGGATTTTGTAGTGTGACGAACATTTTGGACAGTACTTTATTAGCGAATTTTGATCGTGAAGAAGTCATTTTTTTCTACCATAATATTTCTAAACGGTTGAGATCAGAGATTTTCTCAGAAGCATGGATACTTTACTGATACAGGCAAAAAACCAAATCGGAGTTTCATTCCGATATTAGAGTGACATTCGAGAAAGTTCCCTTGTTAATAATTTTTTCGTCTATCATGTTTGAACTGCTGTTTACTTATATCCTTTTTCCCGAAATGTCGAAATCAATACAAAAATCTAGAAGATTTTGCATATTTATAAAATAGTATCCTGACGTGTGTATTTATTTCCTTTATTTATTCTTTAATTATGGTTTTACTTGGACGCAGGTTCCTCGAATATAGCCGCGAATTCTGCTAATTCTTATTGATTACGACTTATCATTAATGTATATTTAGCGGAACGATTTCACCCGATTGGGTTACCACAATCGTCAAGCGACGATAAGGACAACGGCGAGGACGATGGCGAGGATGACAAGATTTCTGGCAAGTTTATCCGGTGGTTAGGTGGACTCCTTAGTTCGATTGATTGCCTGAAGCCTTGTCCAGGTTTCGCCGAGTGCTTTCGCGAAGTGATCGTCAACTACGCAAAGAATGCTTAAGACAGATCCAGACTAAAACGAAGTTAAGACAAGACTGGATCCAGATTAGTCCAGCTTGGACCATGGAAGCTATTATCATCCAAGGCCGGTCCGTGCTGAATCCAGAGTGTCGCGTCTATTTTATCCCTTATAGGATATATGTTTAATATCTGTGTGTGTATTTACCACTTAGGCCAGTTTCTTTGTCCGTAGTAGTGGCATTGAAGACGGCCGCGTAGTTTTTCGGACCTAGAGACCGCTTGAAATGCTCATCGATCGCGGGATCACTAACGCCACCCGTTGTCCTGATAATGGTCCTCTGTCCACCCGAGGCTGTAGTAGACGTCGTCGATGTCATAGCAGAGTCCTCGATTGTGATACCTGAAAAAAGGTAGATAAGTCTTTCTATCATATCTCAGTCGCTATACATTAACTCTAATTAAACGATATTTTCAATCTGTACATATTATTTTACGCACATATAAAATATACGTTTGCGAAATTATTTTCATTGTTTTAACGAATTAAAGAAATCTTATATCATTCCGAAAATATCGTAATGGTAGGTATACTATTATTATATAACATTTTATATATATTATAACTGATTACTTATTAATAAAAATTACAAAAATAGATACAATTAAAAAAAAAAGATTTAATTCTCTAACGGCACACTGGTGCGAATTGGGCTTTTGTGATTTCATTCACTTATTTAACCATGATAATATTCTTCAAAATACTTTCAAAACCATATTTTCTTGGGGTAAAATTTCTCAACAAAGCGATTGGTGCAACATAAATTTATTTTGCAACATAGAAGTAGACCTTGGAAACTGTTATGGGGAAAATATCAATATTTTGAAAATTTTGCTGGTGCGAATTCGCAGCGGTGTGGCCGTTTAAGGGTTAAAATGAAAAATATAAAAGTTGTAAATATAGATGTATAAGCAAATTAAGTGATTTTCAACAAGAAATGTACAAGATCGAAACGTTCTTTTCAAAGTAGATCCTTCGATTAGATTAAAGAAATAAAATATCATTATTAAAATAATAGTAAAATAATAATAGAGGTATATTTAATATTAAAATGACGTTTTAACTGATTACTTCAATCGTATTTTATATGATCTCTCAGACGTATAAAACTACGAAGTATTATTTCTAATACAAAAAAATTAATTTCTTATACAAATAATTATTTACCACAACTATTATTATAATAGATAAATATCCGTTACGGCACACACATTAATTCCGTCTGTAACTAATACGATGATGAATGTTTTAGGAAAATAAACGTTAACATGCAAGGAATGTCACATTGCCATCGGGGGAATAACTGCATTTCCATTGAAAAATACTTTGCATCTGTGCAGCATCCCGGTGCAGCAGGCAATGCATTGTTATAAAACACACCCTACGTAGACACCCTTGACGACAATAGGGACTTAGAGGAGATGTCTAACGACGACACGGTCAGAATATCCGTTATTAGTTGAACCAAATCGTAAAAATATTTCGAAACTCTAACATAAACGCAAAATTTATTTTTTACATAAAATGTTTCATGTTATATGATAATAGTAAGATTAACTGAGAAATTTAGCTTACGTTATACCAGAATTCGAACGACCGAATATCATTATTCATTTGCAACTACAAACATTAATTCGGATAATTAAATCTTCATTTTGACATTTTTTACGTTAATATAAATATACAAATCTTTTACTTTATTCTTCTGAAAAGTTAAATAAAAAAATTGATAAAAATAACATTGCCAAAGAAAGTATAAATTCAATTAAAATATTAATCTGCCACTTTTTTACATCTTTTTTCTTTTTAGGGTCAATCATTATTGACGGTTGCTTACCAACTTGCGTGGTAGGAGGAACGATCACGCTCGGTCTGTTGTGGTGATGAGTTGTTCTTGACATGTCCAATGCTTCGCTCTGAATCGGGTCTCTCCTACGGTCCTTACGCCAGGCGCTGCTTGGCTTTCGATGCAGATTCGTCACCTTCGATCTCTCCTCTGCGAATATACGAAGACACATCATGAACGACACTATTCCTTGAGATGGAAATTTCGAATGAAGAAAACAATGATCGGCTCTATCAATCCAAACGAAGATCTAGATAGATATTTTAAAATATTGTAGATAGATCACGAAGAATTCTATTCGTTATCTCGATCAACTATTATTTAATATAATTTATTGTAATCGATCGCATTCAATCCACTGTAGCAAGAACATATTTTGCTAACGTTCCGTTCTGAATTGGACTACTCTGTACTTCCAACTTTTTCGTTTTAATTTAAGTAATACGAGACAATACGTAGTGAGATTAGCTACACCTTCGAAGTTTAAAGACGAAATGGACGCAATGAACCTTCGTAGAAGACTAACATTTTCTCTGGTCATTGTTGGGTTATAAAATGGAATGTGAAGAACGTCAATGTTATTTCAAATCAGTATCAGAAAGTGGGGGCTCAAGAAATGAGCTGGATAAGTGAGAAAGACTAGGATTGGCTGTAAATATTTTCGTTTGATTTGAGCAAGAGAGAATATACAAACAAAGCGCGCATATGCCTGAAAAGGATGAAGTAGCAAATTTGAAAGTTATATGACCATGCTATACCGAACCTCGTTTATGTTCCGCAGTTTTCGCTAGTAATATGCTTGTATCTAAGCTAGCATGCATATCTGAAATTCCTCTCTTACATCTATTTACCACACTTCGCGATGAACGAAGTTATCGATCGAAATCTATCGGAAATCGCGAGGGTCATTTATTTCCGTGCAGCGGGATATCTAAAATTGGAAAGTCAATCAAACGCGAGACAACCCTTTACGATCGGTTGAGAAAGAGCAAGAAGATGAGAAGGTTGAGAAAGAGGACAACGAAGGACGAAGGAAGAGGGTAGTAAAAACAAGTTCGGTTCTCAGGACGGGCAGGAAGTGCCTAATAGCCGTGAGAGGATCGTCAAGATGGCGAAACTGGTTTAGAGGCGCGCGTACCACAGGAAAAAGATGAATGGACCGGCGAGATGAACGGAAGCGGGACGGGAGGGTTGCCTCGAGAGTCAGTTAACTTCTCGATATGTGCCGCTGATAATTAACGAACACGGGCATGAGTCTCGTCCTTTTATGACTCCAAATCATAGGGCGACTCGTCGTTTCCGCTGCTGAAGCTATCTAGCGAATAAATCAGAGGAGCCGAAGGTCCTTTTTAGTCCGTAAAACAAAATTTGATGAGAGAAGCAAAGCATTCTTACAACGCTTGGCGTTCGACGTGTATCTTTAATTACATAATTTATAACGCAATATACTTTCTTAATAATACTTCATTATATTTAGCATTATCCTGTAATTGCTACAATCGTAAAATCGAATATTAAAACTGAAGAGTCGAACTCCAAGCAAGATCGTGCCGTAAAATTATTTGCGCAAATTTGTGAAGCTTAGCATTTCCGAAAGTCGGTAAAAAAGCATTTGCGATGTGCAACGGCAATTATCAAAATTTTCACCTTGAAATATTTGAAATCAATTTACCGGAAATTCTTAGAAAAAATGTCGGCGGAAGTTATAATTGTTTCATCATGCACTAATATCAAATATTTTTCTTTTAGTGAAGTAAATATAAGTCGAACGCAATAAGACTCATTACATTTTGGTGAGTTAGACTCACCAACAAAATTCCTTTTCTTTGATAAAGTCCATTTTAAGTCAAATTGTATTATTTATATATCTGGAATGTAATTTATATGTTACGTATGTAATCATACATAACATATGTAATCTCAACATACCTGAAATATTTAGAATTCCTTTCAACTCGAAAGCTACTCAAGTTAATTTACATCTTGCGTCAACAAAAAGCGATTGTAAATCAGGCATAAACATTTTAAAATAACGCTGTATATCATACTATTCAATTTCTGTCAAACAAATCTGTGAAACAGCGCAAAAAGATATCGCATTCGTTTGTACTAAGAAATTTTAATTTTAGATTTAAAACTGTTTTCATAATAAGAGCTATTTTCTTATTCGTTTTAAATATATGTAACTCCTATTTAGTTTTTTCATCGCTTTACAAAATGACGTACCTTCCGGTTTGCAAGGCAGTCGGAGGCTATCGACATTAAGCCACGGCTGCCAGAGATACCTCCTCTTACATGGGAGCTCCATTTTATTGGCCTTAGGAGCATTAATAGCCAAGTTAAACTACAGGATCGTGCTCTCTTACGAGATAAGTACAGGAATACTTGAGCACAAGGCGAAAATTTAATTCCTTCCAAACCGCACTATATTTTTTCTGCGAGGATTCAGATCATCATACATTCTTCAACTTCTAATCCTTCAACTAGTAATATTACAGCACAGTTTAGAACAATTGTTATAACGATGTATGTGTAGCTTTACTTCGATCAAGATATCCATCACACAATGTAATAACGCGCACAATTGAAACAAAATTCAATTAACGATATTTCTGATAAAACTACTTATCTTCATTGATAAGTTTCTTCGATTATCTGCAACTAAAAGTTGCTGGAACTAAGCGTTCCTTGTTCTACAAAATTTCTCACAAACAAATCACAAGTAGCGATGCATTGCGATTCCACTCTCGCACAAATCTCGATCGAAATTTTTCAAACGATATGTGCGCCAATCGTTTAACCGGCAGTATAATATTTACTTAAATAATCACTAATAATTAACAAAAATTATTTTTGGATATAACTTTCGATACACTTCACTAGCTTCATTCTCGAAATAAAGAATATGTGCGATAATTCCATCAAACATCTCATTCTTGTGAAGATTCGTTCCTGCAGAGAGAGAGAGAACTGTGTAATCTTCCTTTTCTTTAAAATTTTTTTCTATTTTCCTCGGTCACAGCTTCTGAGAATCGATACAATTATTGCTTCTTCCGCTTGTGGACAATCACATTAACGACGCAATGATCGAATACATTAGAGAGAAAATTGCGGAATCGCCACGGAGACTCGAAAGAACTCGGGGAATCAAAGGAAAAAGGTGAAGATACGACAAACGAGGAAGCTCGAAAACCGCGAGATTCGAAAAACAAAGCGGCACGTAAAAACACAACAAGGAACTCGTAATGAAACGATTATTTAACGCAATCGCGAGATGCGCACAATGCGGAGGAACGACGGCGACGAGGATGAAAATGGCGACGAGACGCGAGGAGAAGCCGCGAGGCCCCCTGAAAAAAAGCTCGTCCCTCAAAGGCGCACTCGCGGTTTCGTGAATGCGCCACTCACGACTGTCTTAAGATTCATTCATTCATCCGCCGCCTCGACACCGCTCTGTCCGCCGCCACCCTTCTCCCCGTGCAACACGTGGGATCGAAGGAGGTTGCCTTTTACACGTACACACGCATACGCGCGCAATGCTGGCAACCCGTACGAACGTTCTACACCGAGGGTATCCTGCACGGATACGACGAGAATTAAGCGTGTATTTATAAGGTACTATAAGCGCGCGCGCTCGGCTGGAAGCCAACTCGTCTCTTTTCTCGCTTTCTCTTTCTCTCGGCCTCTCCCTCTCTATCTCTTTCTCTCTTTCCCTTTTTACCAGGTAGACACGATATACTGGGTGTGCAGAGACCAAGGGCGGTATTCCTATTGTTTGCTCTTATTGTAAGACTATTTTAAGTAATGTCTTAAAATGCGAATATACGCGCCTCTGTGGGCGGTATTCATAGTTTATATTCTCCGTTTCTTATTTTAAGATCGTCTTAAGTAATGTCTTAAGATGCTAATAAGTACAGCCCTCTGATTGGTTTATGATATCTTAAAACTGTACATAAGACAGCCTCAAATACATATAACAATCGACTATGAATACCGGCCTGTGATTGACTTATGACATCTCGAGACTGTACTTAAGAGCATATAAAAACTGACTAGGAATATCGGCCTGAAAAGTCGCATATATATGTCCTTTGATCACTGAGGATAAAATCACTCGATGAGGATCGCTCGATAAAATATATTTGGCGTGCTTGACATATTTCTTCCTTTTATAACGAAACACTTTAAAATCCATTTTCACAACATGTGATTACCTGAAGATTAAAGGTTACCAAGAAATTCATCAATGAAATTCATTCATAAATTTCTTGGCAACCTTTAACCTTCAGGTAACCAAATATTGTGAAAACGGGCCTAAGCTAAGTCAAACTAAAAAACGCACGAATATTTGCGATTTGTAAAAGTATGTATGGATGCATTCCATCTGTGATGCTCACGGGGCTTAGGAGAGCATCATTTATCCTTTTTAAACATTTAATAAACAACAAGGATAAAAGAATTGCAAGAGAGATGTGAACAGCAAATGGAACGCAGTCTATATACGGCTCGTTTCAAGCAAGTCAATAAAGAAAAACGTTCTGAGAAATTTACACGTTGCAGACGTGATCATTACGCGATGAAATTACGGCGGAAAATAAAAATCATTAAACTGCCAATTATAATAGTCGACACAACTCTTGAATTCCCCTCTTCTAATTTTTAAAAATAAAAATTACGATCATTAAAATTAAATTTGTTCGAGTCAAAGGAATAATTATGCAATAATCATGCATGACTCTGCGGTATACACGCATTAAAATTAATAGGATCAAAGTCTTCCTTTAATATCTAGATAAACAGATTACATCTCCTTCGATCAGGTTTACAATTAAATTAATTCGATTTGAAAGACGAACGATAATTCTGCACGACCCTGTATATAGGCGTTGCAACCGGCGCATCGATGCACGCGCGAATGCGTCCAATGGTTGATAGCGTGCGTTTATTTTAACCCTTTCGATATCCACGTACGATCGCCGCGTATCATGCATTGAGTTCCCCATTGACTTGAATGTAAAAAAAAAAAGAAGGAAAGAAGTGCTGTCTTCTTTTATACATACAATTTTCCCTGTAATTCTAATCTTTCCAGGATATCATCGCATAATATTCTATTCGGAAAAAGTACACATGTATAACATATTTTCAAAATTGATGTAGGGTCAAGATAATGCAATCATAAAATATTAAATTTAATGGAAGCATTAATGCTTTCTTATTTACATATTTTGTGAAATTATTTATATACCAATTTTTATATTTGTTTAATTTCATATTTTGTAGTGATATTATTTATAATATTTTTATATACCGACATATATTTTTGTAATCGCATTAAATATAATTTGCGATATTATGCCGGTCGTAATTCAACGCTCGTTTGTCCGTGCACATGATTTATGTACATCAGTTGCATCATTTTATATTCATTATTCGAAAAACAGAATATGAACTGTATAAAACATGTATATGCAACAGAGGGTCACGAACCACTCTGACTTCCTGATAAAATGTGTCGCAGTATAAACGACGTTCGCTCCGCCGAAGAATAAAAATTCGAGATCAGCAAATGCATTCGTGCGCGACTCGCGTCGAGCTGAACACGTGTACTTAATCTGCAAATACGAGGAATTGAAACTATAAACGGCGCCTATGCGGAATCGTTGACACTTGGGAGTACTGCGTGTGTTCTTAAGTGGACTAGAATTCAGTTGAATACGTCCTACGGCGAACAATAAATCAGAGATTTTTTATCGATTTAATTAATTATAATCGAGTCTAGTTAATATTCTTTTAATCTCAAAGACAGTTGATATTATTTCACGAATTGGAAAGAATAACAGAAAATATTATATAAATTATATTTATATAACTATCAGTCCCTTACTTCATAAATGACACAGCTCGAAAAATATGAATCTCGAATTATTATAACAAATGAGTTAAGTAAACATTATCCTAACAATCATCAAAAGTATACTTATTTAATTTCATAAAAAAAATCACAATTCAAAGAGTACCTATTGTACTTTGCAAACGAGGTTTGAATAATTAAACTATTTTATTTTTTATTCCGAGCTGACTCTCCTTCTTTTCTATTTTTCTTAAAGAATTATTTTTTAAAATTTATGAATGTAAAATTATTTTACGATTGTAATAATATTTTCTAAAAGTTACAAAACAAAAATGATGAAAATAACATTTGCTTTTAACAAAATGATATTTCATGTTAGTAATATAATATTCTTCTTGCCGATGTTATATAATTAATCAATAATTTAAAATGTTGTAATCAATTTGATTGCTTAATAAAAACATTCGATTGTAACTAGAACTTATCGTCCGCGCTCCTAATTTCATCATTCGCGCAGAACGTTCGGCTCATTTTGCTACGAGGATTTCGTAAGGCGGACAATTGAATACAAAGCAAAGAATGCGATTGCTCACCCGCGATCGCGCGATCGATTCCACGTAAAAACGATTGCGCGGCTTGTGACAGTATGTTACGATCGTGAATTTATGTCAGGTAATAGCGCGTTGCATTATAACTCGGCGCCCGCGATAATAATAGCGATACCCACGGCGATCCGACTCGCATACGAACGAGCCTTCGTTAATGTCGTCGTGCACGCGCGTGAAATATAGAATGACTATTGAACAAATTATGCGAGGAATGCCGACGGCATGTCGAGTAGTTTCGTCGTCGTTTCTGAGGTCTGTGCATTCCATGAGACTTTAATCGCGTTGCGTTTCATTGTCAAGTAATGTCTTTATATCCCATTACCATCAATCAGACGGCAATAATTTTCCAGTTAAGAAATGGACGGTAAAGCAGAAGAGAATCAAAAGAAGAGATCTGTGTTGCGCTTCCCCGGAAAAGATCAAAGCAAAATTACATAGATGTGACACGAAAAAGGCATAAAAAAAGGCACGAAAATAGGCATGAAAGTATTTCCGTTAATGTCAATACACGGTAAAATAAAATAAGTCAGACTGAAATGATCCATTCAAAAAGTGCTTTTTATTTCTACTATTGCCTGAAAATGTACGTGTTCGAAATACTTAACATACCTATTTTTTCTCACTTATCGAGTATCTCGCTTGTAAGTCATCGGGAAATAATAAAATTTCCGACTTCCTAATGTTTTAAGGATGACGTAACTTAACGTAAATTATTATTGCTTACGAGATTGTCAATAATCCTGTAATATTCAGTAAACTATAAAATGAGGGAAAAGGGAATTATATTTTATGTGTATTTATCATGATAAGAAAAAGATTGCTCTCATAAAAAATTAATATTAAAAGATAAATAGTGATCAATTATTTATTTTAAGTACTAAAATCACTATTATACCTTCAATACTTGAAATAATTAATCATTATCTTTCTTTCAGTATACCTAAATATTGTTACTGCAAAATTGTAGAGGACAATATTGTCTTTTAACGTGCGATTTTTTTATTAGGTTTTTTTTGGACGTTTTATACTATCATTCTTTATATTATCGAGAGAGTCAAAGTCCGCACACAGAAAAAACAGAGTTTGGTAATATCTACCTAAAATACATTTTCAACCAAACGTTTTGTTAATATAATCAAACATAATTTTATGGGTTTACCGTTTGGTAATACTAAATTTTTGTAAAGACAAAATTATGTTTGATTATATTAACAAAATTTTTTTATTGAAAAAAAAACCTATTTTACGTAATTATTATCAAACTGTTTTTTCTGCGCAAAATAAATCGCGAGGTAAAATTCCGAAAGGCATAAACTGACCTTGCATCATTGTCGCTGCTCTGGAAAGGACGTCCAAGGCACTCTCGACGGCAGACATACTTCTTTCGTTCGTTCCGTCCGTTTCGAACTTTCTTTAACTCTTTTTTCCTCTACTCTCCTCTCCTCGCGTACCACCCTCGCGCGAATATTCGCGCGCACCCTTACAAATGCTTCGTGGATCCTCAATCTTCTTTTCACAAAAGATACCCCTTCCTCGTTGTCGTTTTTCTGGCAAAGGAACGTCGTCCTTGGCCCGTCTGCGCTTCCACGATGCAAAATCAGGCGCTCTGTATAGGGACAAAAGTCAAACTTTAACCGTTTGGGGCCTTCCTCGCGGCCGAAGGCGGCGCAAATAAAGTAAAACGGGGATTAAAAAACGTGACATTGTCTGTGGAATGCGGACCCCTCACCGTCGGCGCCCCCCCCCCTCTCGTGGGAGGACCCCCACCCCCGCGGCACTCCTCTCGCGGAACCTCTTCTCGCGCGACATATCTAGCAATGGAATCGACACGTTCGTGTTCATATAGCACGTTAATTCCAACTGATAATCGCTTTAATTAGATGTTATAACATTATCACTGCAATTTTCAGAGTCACTTATTGTCGGTGAGATTTAAAATCGTTTCTTCCTTATTAAAAAATATTTTAGGTATTAATAATTGTCAAGTGACTAATAGCTATCTTTGTATCAAATTTTTAATGGTATTTTAATTATGTATATAATTATCTACAGAAATCTAATTAAGGCTGACATTTTTCTAACCAATTTCGTGTGATACATTTAGAATTCAACTGCTACAAAATATTCGAAAATAATTTAAATCACAGTCACGAGATTGAAATAGTTAAGACGATAGCTTATCATCTGTATCGATCGCTGGTCTAATAGTTAAAAAAAACTTGGCAACAAAAAAAATTATTAGGTATAAGAAAAAAAGTTATTTAATTTATCCATTTCTTCTAATAGTCCTTACATTCTTTCAGAGTTACACAGTACAAATTAAAAATTGTACGATCGTCACGTTCTTATCAACACGAATTGAATCCATATTGTACGTAAAAATAAAAAAAAATTCTAGAATGATGAAATAAACTTTCAAGTATGCCATTTATTTATTGACAATGAATATAGTATTACTGCACACTTAATGTTAAAAGATAACGTTATCATAGCTAAGCTATCATTATTTATCATTTAACCATATTGACATTCTATTACGATATACAAGTAGAACGTCAAATAAAGTCTACGTAACAATTTATTCAAACAAAACTCGTTCTATCAATATAGATAAAACTTTTGATACAATTTAGAAAGAATGTGTTTGGTGAAGAATCAATATACGTTTGATATAATTAAAAAAAATACATTAACTTCTCAATCTTGGTCAAACATTTTGCAAATACAATAAATTCGTTAGAAAAAATTATAAAATATTTGTCTTAAATTTAAAGATATTGTTTAATTTGATATTTTTAATAACATTTTTTTATTGGTTAATTTCTATCTTTTATGGGTTTTCTCTAATATTAAACTTTTTTTTTTTTCTAAAAGAAAAAGGAGAAAAGAGAAAATACCTGATAGGATCGTTTTCGCCTTACGCTTTAATATTTTATAAAATAAGAGAAACGATATTTTCGATTTTAAAAATGAAGAGGAAGGTTCGTGGTTGGTTTAAAGCCATTGCTTAGTCGCGACCTCTCTCATTCCTTCTCATCCTCCTCGCGTGCTTTTTCTGCTTCTCGCAACACTACCGTACGGTCGACATCACGATTTCATCATAACAATATAAACAACCTTTTATCCACCTCCCTACCGCTCTGCGCGATTTGCTCTTTCCGGTACTTTGGCTTTTTCTTCAGCCTCTTTAAAGAACTGCGGATTTTGCATGAGTCGATAAAAGTAAAATAATCCTGCTTCATCATTTCTCCTTTAATTAATTCTACTGTTTTTATAATTCCTCATTAAAAATGAAAATATCCAATTTCCTCAAACTAAAATTATAAAACAAATAGATAACTCAAAATTCACGATTAACGATCTTAATTCCCAGATTACAAGATTAAACACTGCAACTTTAATATTATGGCTTATTATTAAATTTTTCCTAACTTCTATTATCATTTTGTTAGATTATTATTAATTATCATAGATATTATACATATGTATATGTTATATGTACACATATAAACTTTTATAAATTTAAGTTGCTTTTAAATTATCATTCTCGAAACTTTTCGAGCTTGTTTACTTTTTTTAAAGAAAATTTTTCAATCGAGAAGATACCATATCCGATTCCGCGCGTCGTTATCTTATTTGCTGAGTTTCTCAAGTGATAAAGAAACAAGATAAGATTCAAAGGATGATTCTGATTTACAAAGGCGTGCCGTTTCTCGGCCATGCCTCTTCCTCTCAATTTTACACGAGTGATGCGCAGTGTAAACGTTTTATGAATCATGACGGCGCGGGCGTCGTCAGTGTGCTATTTAAACGAAAGGACGACCCGAATAAAGAGTATCGCGAACGCGAGAATCATTGCACATAATGCAACGTCATTGTGCGAGAAATGACGTGCGTTTGTAAATACGAATCGATGTAAGAGTGTCGGAATTCAGAGGCGTAACCCTTTTAACACACGTCGTATACGTAAAATTTAGCTGTAATTTATTTACAAATATTTTTACTTAGCTCCTCCCTTTCTCGATTTCGACACAATTCCATTCGAAAATAAACTTGAATATGTATTATTAAATTATTCGAAATGAATTCCGACTAAAATTGTTGAATTTTTCCTCAAATTTCGACTGTATTTTCTACGGAAAGCGGAATAATTCCCATCGAAATTCATTCCAATAGTTGTATAACAAATGTCCTACCTTTTTATAGATTAAATTTTTAAGAATATCAGAACGATAAGATTCTATACTATAATACTTTAAAATCAATTCTAAGTATATTTAATTTTAAAATGTTTGTATTTAATTTTATTAAATGTATATTTAATTTTGTTCATTTCTTTTTAATTGCAATTTCATTTTGCCAAATAAAACAACCACAAGAATTCATCTTTATACTATTGGAATCTCTTTGATCCAATTTATTTCAATTCTAAAAGTTACAACGAAAATTTAGAACGTGTTTGATTCGATTACTAAGAGCGTTAAATTAATAGTGTGTGATCTACAGAAGAACCTTCGCACCTTCGACTAACGTCACGCACGCCGTTCTAACCACTCGATCGACAGATTCCCACATATTATCTTGACCAAAGATTCAATCGAATACATAGGATGTTCCGAAATTATTAACTTTGTTTAAAAAAGAAGTACAAGACTTCAGAAGCCAAAACTGAAAATAAACGCTATTAGTATTGTATAAATTATATAATACAAATTATATCAAAAAATTATATTTAAAAAATATATTTAAAAAAAATATAAAAAGTTGCTTATCTTGATCAAACTTTATAAAATATTCTTTAAAAGAAAAAAATTCTTGTTTTGAGTATGAGTTTTTTTTTTAAATTGCAATAAATATATATTTTCAGACTATTATCGAAAAAATATTTTTTGTTAAAGATAAAATTACCTGATACTTAAAAGAAAAAGTATGTATAAGCTGAGTAATTACTTTTTTTAATAGACTATTTTTCTGTTGTAACGTTAATGTACATTTTTATATGTATACATAGCTATGGAGCTTAAAAAATTTTACAATTAACGCTATATTAACGAATATTAAAAATTTTTAATCTAAATTTTCGATTTAAGAGAAACTCCTAAGAAAATTTGCGTCCAAAAAATAAATAATTTTGACTCGTCGAATAATTCGTACACCCTGTACATTCACGAACATATACATATATACGCACTGAATAGCACGTGATATGCGGGCGATTTACACGCGACTGCTCAGGAACGTTAGAGCTCGAAACCGCCGATCGAGATTTCTTGTCGAATGTTTTCGTTGACGAACTCATAAAAAAAAACTTCAGTTCGAATAAAATTATGTAAAATCTACTTGTATATTAAATTTATTTCAATTGCCTCTCTGATTTTGCCCACGTTTAGCCTCATTTCAGTAAGTACGTCAATATATAATAAAATGTGAAACCAATTTTTATGTAATTTTGTACAAATACATTTTATCGCAAAAAGGTTGAAAGGAATTTAATAATGAATACGCGATGTTTTACGGTCGACTTCCTGGGAAAATGTCCAATGACAAAGCGATGCACACGATGTGTCGTGTAGATTTATACTTACGCGTCCGCAAAGTGACAAATCGACAGTCATTAAAAAAAAAAAACAATAACATCGCAGTACATATGTGAGAGATGTGAATCGTATCACAAGAATTCCACTGCGACGGAGTGACAAAAAGGCACGCTAAAAATTTCAGAAGTGAACGGAATGTGCGGAAACGTGTTATCAAAAAAATTTGTCAAGAACGAGGGTTCGTTTATTTACTGCAAACCAACATTCCACTGCGTTGCAACCGCTTTTCCCTAAACAAAGATCGGCACTCGAGAAAAGTTCGACGCACCCGATGGAATTCGAAACGCGAGCGCGTTCCTCGGAATTTTTACGCGCCGACGAACGAAACGTCAAGCGAGCTAATCGTCTCTCTTCTATTTGCTGTAATACGTATACAGACGTTGCATTTCTATCGAAACGTAGAAACATGGTATGAAATATGCGGCAAACATGCGAAGTTATAAAAATGCCTTTACGAGTGAAGAAATATTATAATTTTTATTTTATTCTATTTCTAAAAACACACACAAAGAGATTTAATTATTTGAAATTAAAAGAAGAAAAGAAAATTAAATATCCGATACTTCACACATAAGAAATTTTCTGCTAAAATAGGAAGATAGCCAAGAAATATCTACATTTATTTTGAAGGGAACAAAGTCCGATGCTTTCGTATTTAATCTTTCATAAATGTCATCGTGTCTGCTGCACCTTCTAAATTTTGTGCATTTGCAAATATAAATTTTAGGAAAGAAAAAAGAATGGGTAATAAAATCGAATGTATTTTATTCCAAACGTTATTAAAAATAAAGAAAATATATTATTTAAATACTTCTGATGTGTGTTGATTTTATGACTAGTTTTCTATAAAAACTTATCTTGAAGTCAGATCAGATATTTTATTCGCAGAACGTAGACAAGAATATTTATCTTGATTGAGAAGAGAACAAAGTCCGGTGTGTTTCCGCAGATTTAATGGCATAAATGTCATCGTGTCTGTAGTCTACACTTTCTAAATTTCCGAATTTTATATACTTGCGAAAGTCGCAATTTCAACAGAAAAAACAGAATTATAAGAACAAATATATTTTTTATTCCAGATATTAAGTATTAAAGGTAAAGTGAAGAGAGAAGTTACTTAAAATATCGACTCAACTTCATGATGAACTTTCTACTAAAACATTCGCAGGAGAAGGTAGCCAAGAAACATCTACCTTCGTTTGAAAGAGAACAAAGCCCCGTGCTCCCGCAGATTATATTTTTTATAAATATCATCTCATGCACTTTTTCTAATTTTCAAATTTTGTGTTGCAAAAGTCAATTTCAGAAAGAAAGGATAAAAAATCGAACATATCTTACTTCAGATATAAAACAAAAATTATTTAAATATCTGATTCGATTTCATGATAAACTTTCTACTGTAAAACATCTGCAAGAAAAGGTAGAGAAAAGTCCAGTGCTTCAACAGAAAATTTAACTTTTCATGAATTATTTGATAATTTTCTAATCTTTCTAAATTTTCAAATTTTGTATATTCTTGCAAAAATCACAATTTCAGGAAGAATAAAAAATCGAATGTATATATCTTGTTCCAGGTATTATTGAAGGAAAATAAATTATTTAAATATTTAATCTGATTTCATGAGATTTCTGCTAAAACACTCGGCAGAAAAATAGTTGAGAAATATATCACCTGCAATTTAAATTTCGTAGATTCAATCTCTCATAAATTCTTCCACATCCAGTTTCTAAATTTGTAATTGCAAAACCCGCGATGATGTATGTTTACTCTTACTAATGTAGATTAACTCTGACCTTGGAGTTTAACTCACTTTTTATTTCCTTTTTAACTGTAAGAATTAAAGAAAGATAAAGATTAAATTAGACGACGATGAAAGTTTATCTTTATTAGTATAAATGGAGGGGGGGGATATCACAGAAATAAAATTAAAAAAGATGACAATAAAACAGTATAAGAAGATACAGAAGAGTGATAAGGTAAATTATACTCGAATCATCATGTATGTAACCAACATTCTCGCCTTCGCAAAAATCGCGCGTCCGAAATCGTATCGGTGTCGACAAACAAGGGAAGAATTCTGCGCCGGAATTTCGACCATCGTTCTTTCAGCACCATTTTAAGAAATGCCGATCACGGGATCTCCATAACGCCATGGAATTTTGATTTCATGATACGTATAGGGGACACGTGCGGGTACGTCGCGCTGAGTTTCTCTCGTTTCTCCTGAGCCAGACTGCATAACTAGCGATTCGTTAATCATATGATATTCGCGAATAATGCGAATAAGCAGATTCGTCAAGTTCGCGATTTGTTTAACATCAAAGGACGCAAACCGCTGCATTGAGAGAAAAAAACGTGCTAAATTTCAATAAATATTTCTGCGCGCAATTCAAGAGACAAATTATAAATAAAGTAGACGATTACGTCCGTTCTTGCCAAGTAGTTTAATTTTAATCTCGGTTCAACCAACTCTTCATCTTTTTTTTAATTCCAAAAAACCGCGGAATAATTATTTAAACCCAGATTAAAGTTAATCTACCCTAGAAACAGAGGCATAAGACTTACCTTCTTCTAATTCCAGGAATTAAAAAACTTACTATTTACTAAACAATTCTTGGAATTAGAAAAAGATAATAAGTTAAAATTAAAGTAAATTGTATATATTTACGAAACTGAAATCTACATTGCAAATTCAAATGGAATAATACTGTAATAAGTGCCTTTAAATGCATATAATTTGAGACGTTTAAATGTATATACAAATCCGTGTTTTTATGCAGTATAGTATTATTCTTACGCAAAACTGAATCGCGAACTCACACATAAAAAGCACTTATTAGCAGTGATTACACACTTGGATTTACAATAAATTATCGTGGCAAACGCAATGAATTTCTCAGCGCGAAAATCGCCGTGAAGTTCCGAGACGCGAAACGTCAACGACGCTCTTCGGAGAAGTGCCTGCGTCCTCGATTGACTTTTTCTGAACAATTTCGCAAAGACGAATTCGCCCACTGTGGTGGAAATCGCGTACCTGCTGCGAAATTCCTTTGGCAAATCAGCAAATGCGACGGTGAGAATTTTCGACTTATATATCTCTTTCTCTCTCTCTCTCTCTGCCTCTCTCTTTCTCTCTCTCGTCGAAAACGGCCAATCACCCTGCGAAGGCACGAGGCGGTTTTTTTTCGAACGTCCGAATCGCCGAATAGGTAGTACAAAGTTCGCGAAGTAAAAACCGTCGACGACGACGACCGACGACGACGGGTCGGGCGCGCTACTCCGAGCGATCGTCGCCGTCGGCGCCACCGCCGCGCGGCGCGTCTCTCGACGTTCGCGGGGAATCAATAGAGGAATGCGGCGTAGTGTAGAAGAATGCAAAAAGAGACGAGAAAAAGGGAGGAGTAAAAAAGAGAGAAAACAGGCGTGAGAGAGAAAGAAAGAGAGAGAGAGAGAAGAGAGAGCGCGGACGTGAGGAGGAAAGAGGACACGACGACGACGCGTAAACGCGCGCGGCATTCTTCTGAATACCTCAGGAGAGCGACGTGTGCCGGCATGTCGTTCATTCCCGCCGCGTCGCTTTTATTTTGACAGTGCGCGCGAGCGCGCGCCGTTACACGCGCGTGCGTTTTACTGTATAGGTGTGCTTCTTTCTTTTTTTTACTTACCCGCGGCTCGTCGCTCCCGACGACGTTCGCTCCGCGTAGCCCCGCACTGTGCGCCGCACCTGCGAAAAACACGCGAGTTTCACGCCGCGGCAGTTTTTGCCCGCCCGCCGTCACCGCGCGCTCTGTCACCCCGGGTGGACGCGACGTCCGTTCGTACGGCACTCACGTCGTCGGCGCGTCGTGCCGCGGCCGGTTACTCGCGCCCATTGAAAAGCACGAAAATCTAATGGTATGCGGGCGGGTGGACGCGCGCGCGCGGCACGGCCCGTTTGACACGACAGGCAGCCTCGGCTATCCGTCCTCATCCCTCCCCCACTCCGTCCCTCTTTCACCCCGCGCCTTTACTCGCCTGACGCCCCCACCCTCGCCCGCGTGCGCTCGGGCATTACGCCGGAATGCGCGGTATGCGGACCGACCGCCGCGCCGCAGCGGCAGGATCGTCAAGCTCCCCCCGCGGCGGCCGCAGCCTTGTAAATACGCCAGCGCGGCTCTCGTCGTTGCGAGAGTTGCGAGCGAGGAGGTATTTTTTTTTTCTTGCGCACGCGCACAAGTGTCGGGCGATTCGAAGTAGCGTACATAGTTCACGGGAATATTTGGTATCGTTAGGTCCTGTCATGAAAAGAAAATATTGAACAAGTTGTACGATGCCCGTTATTTCTGAACCACTTCTACCAATGTAGCTCAACTTTAATTTTGGGTTAATTTATTCTTTATTTTTTTCTAATTCTTAGAAAAAGATAAGAAATATGTTAAAAGGCGATTTAAATTAATCTAATTAATATAGATATCTATTAATGTAGATTAATTTTAATTTTGAGTAACTCGCTCTTTATCTTTTTCTAGTTCTAAGAATTAAAAAGGGATTATAAAGATTAAAATAATCGAAACTAAAATTGGAAATATAGATAATATATGTACATACATACATTATGATAGAAACAAAAGCATGATCGTACATATTTTTTTTTAATAAAGTGAGAGAGTAAATAAGTATAAGAGAACAATTATTGATTAAACAAATTCAGTTGTCTATAAATAATTACAATAATATAAAATAAATGTAATTAAAATATTATAATATGATACGTATATAATATGTTTATATCTAATGATTATAGTGTATATTTATTTTAAATGTAAAATTAAATGCAAATATATATGTTAGAAGTTAAAACCATCTAACAAAAAGTTCTTTAGATTTTTTATTAAATAATTCCAATACTTGCATACCATTTTATTTAAAATTGGAAAAAATATTCATAAAAAATATATTGTATATTATTAGTAGATATAAATTATCTTACAACAGATAAAATGTTAAAATGCATTAGAACCTCCGCGGAGCCCTGTAATACATCATACGAGTCTGTCGATCGAGAGGTCTGTCGATCACGTGGTCCACTGCACGTGTGTGGTTCTGTCTGCAATGTGTCAATCGATGTTCATAATTTTCTTGCAAGATATGTTGCAAAATAAAGTAAAACGCTTCTCTATACAAGTCTACTGTTGAACTGTTTAAAATGTCAAAATAAATTTTACAGTAATTATTATAATTTTGTAGATTTTATTATTAGATCTCTTTGCAACATAGTTTGGTTAACTTGTATTTATACTGTGATAGAGAAGTTCTATTAATAATGTGATAAGAAAATTGTGTAAAAAATGAGTTTAGACAGCAGTAATGATTATGAAGATAATAGACCTAAAACACCACTGGAGGAAGATTGTTGTGGTAGTGGCTGCACACCATGTATTTTCGATATTCACAAAACACTGCTAAGAGAATGGGAATGTAGAAAAACTCGAGTAGAAGTAAAAATAACCGATAATTTATTATCTCTTTTATCTTATAAAACGTTTGTTATCACAGATATATCTGATGCATCAGAAGATTACATTTTAATTTATTTGGAATATCCAGGTATTATAGTTTACTTAATTTAATAGTAAAAATAACAAATTCTATAAAATGTATTGCAAATAATTAATAAGAAGTAAAACAACTTATAGCACAGAAAAATTCTAATGTTTAAAACGTCATATAAAATACATTTAAAAAAAACTTTGCATGTTACATAGAATACAAAACAAAACAAAATATTTTACATCTTACACCTGGACAATATGTCATACTGCATTCTTGGAGCAAATCTCGACCATACACTCCAATTTCTTGGACACATAAGAGTTTAATTTTCTTGATAAAATTATATAAACATGGTGAATTCAGTTTACTTATAAAAAATGCATCAATTGGAAGTGCAATTGATATCAGGGGTCCTTACGGAGATTTCAAATATGAAAGTAACAGGTATGTGAAGTGGAGTGTACGTAAATATCACTTTTTCCCCTCAAAAATCTACGCATTACGACAGTTTTCAGCAAATTGTCATGTTCGGTATCGGCTCAGGAATAGCAGCGCTTTATCCCATTGCTAAAGCAATCGTTGACGACGAAACGGAATTAACAAAAGTACATCTTGTTGTGGGATTTAGGTCGATAGCGCAGGTGCCTCTGAAAAAAGAGTTAACGTATTTAGCAAATTATTGGAATTTTAAATGTACATTACAGTTGTCCCAGTTAAATGGTATGTAACATTGGAATTCAGTATTGAAAAAATAACTAACTTATACAGTGTTAAAAAAAACTGTTCAGTATTATATGGCAGTACACATCATACTGAGTAAAAAAGCTTCAGTGAACATACATAGATTGAAAGCTCTATTGTTCTATGATTATTAAGAGTTTTTTACTCACAATCAGTATAGTATGTCATATAAATGCTGATTTTTTTTAACACCTTGTTATATATGTATATATATTGTTCTATGACAATTGCATTTAAAAAACTACAATTTTTTTCATACTTTGATAATTAAAAAAAATATCAATAATTTCTTTAAATATATAAATAAGTGATTAAAATGATAAACTTTTAATTAAAATGAAGAACTTTTTCATTTTTCGTACTTCATTACTTTCTAAAACTTGTTTCAGACAAGACAGTCAATCTTCATGGTTTTAATATAAATACTGGTCGTTTGAGCAAACCACTCGTTGCTGATTATCTTCAATCTAATGATATAGAAACAACATTAATTTTAATATGTGGTACCTCAGAATTCAATCAGTCTGTAAAAGAATGGCTCCAAGAAATTAACTATACACACATACATATATTTGAATAAAATATACCTGAATATTTTAAACAGTAAGTTAATAATATTTATCTTCAACATTCAATGGGACAGGAAATGTCTTCCTTGCAATGTGGACAACTGCCATAGATATGCTCAAATACAACTTGATTCGCTGCATTTGTTTGTAACCACTGTAAAAGAAATTCATTTCATTAAAATATATTTTATTTTATGTTCAGTTCAATTTTACTATATTGTTTTAACAATATCTTTCATTTTATCTATTTTATGTCTTTGATACAATGACTTTTGAAACAATTGATATTTTATTAAAGAAAAAATTAAAGAACATTACATATACATAATGTATATTATGATCTTTAACATACCATTGATAAACATGTTGAATGAAAATGTTTCATGCACTTTTGGTTATTGCATATCTTATTTGGCAATTCATCAGTTTCCGATAATTCAAAGAAGCATATACCACATTGACGATTACTAATAACACCTTGCGACTCATCCAAGCTGTCCTGCTGCTCGGGAAATATATATATATTTAATAACATTCTCAGATTATCTAAAATATTACAATCTGGATCCCAGTTCTGTAAAAAGATGTATTCATTTTTAAGTTATACATAAGCATATAAATTATGTACGTTGTACAAGAACATACATGAATATTACTAGAAGTATCTTCCATTTGTCTCTTCACCTCGTTATCACTACCTGAGAACTGAATTGTTGGCACAACAGTAGGAGCATTAGGATCTATTGTAATTGTCACACATATAGATTGTGACAAATGAATGCGTCTGTGTAAGTGACACTTGTTTGGTTTCGGTGGATCAATTACCCAACAATTTCTGATAATAAAATATTTTACATTAGAATATTCCATTACAACAATTGTTTAATAATTCTTTCAGCAGTAGGATAAAATCTTATATATTTTGCGAATATAAACAAAATTACTCACTCATCAATTTCTTTTAATTGTTCCCATGCTTTTTCCAATAATTCCACTTGCCATTTGAACTTTGTCACCACAGCGTTCAAATTTTTACTCAATACTACAACCTTCTTGAAATTTTCAGGCATATTAGAAGATATTACATTCCAGGGAATATCAATATTTTTAGATCTTTGCAATGTAAGAAATATTTCTCTTAAGAATAATTTAATAGTATTCAGATTTCGATCGCATGACAATTGCACATCCTTTAATTAGATATTATATCTTCAATGTCAAAGTCATGTAAAAATTTATAGAAAAATACAGATGTAAATTTACTTACAGACTGATTCTGAAGAGCTGCTTTGATATCATCTAAAAAGTCTTTTGTAGATTCAAAGTCAAACGGTATATAAACTTTGTTATCTGTATTATGTATATATTTATCCTATTGGAAAATGTATAATAATATAATTGTCATAAGAAAAATAGCAAAGCAATATACAAGTTACGTACAATAAGTAATTGCAGTTGCGACAAGAATGATAATACAGTTTTTTGAGACTTTATCGAGTTCTTCACTTCTCTGCTGAATTTTTCGTTCCGAAGGAAAGCAATATGCTTGCCGAAGCTGATTTGCGCTTCATCAAATGATGGATAATTAGGCATAACTAGTTTCACTTTTACTCTGGGACATCGAGTATACCCAACAGGGTATAACAATTTTGAGACAAGCAGGAAGCCTTGCCAAGTGACAGGTGATTCTGAGACAAGTATCATCTCTGGATGGCATTTCGAGATTTCTTCAAAGTTGTTTTCTTTAAAATTGCGTTTTGTTGTCATTGTCAGCAGTTAATTTAAAAAATTCATATCTGAAAGGATTAGTCATAACCATAAATATATCTACAGTTAAGAATATCGACAGCTTTTTGTAGTTATCGAAATATACCTTGTCGTGTGATAAATATAGTAAAATAAAACTTACAAGCAATCACGATAATAAAAAATACTGCATATGATTGCATAAACTATCAGATAATTGAGAGAATTCCAAATTCCTCGTTCTTATTCTGAGAGAAAGATTTCAAAGTAATTTCAACTTTCAAGTGCAGTCTAGTCACGTGGTCTAATACAGGAACGTGGTCTAATAAAAAAAAGTAGATCTATAATACCAGAGAGGTAAGCTGAAAAGAAACTAAAGACCGCAGCACACACTTTTGCATGACGCATAGTGCATAAGCGAATCAACCAATCAAAATACTTCTCTTCCGTGAAGTGGGAGGAAAAGAAGGATTATGATTTGTTGATTTTCTTATGCGTCATGCAAAAGTGTGTGCTGCGGCCTTAAGAAACTGTCTGTTGCAGTTGGCAGAAGTCATATTTTTGTAAAACGAAGTGAACGCGTCACAGTATAGTAGTACCAGAGAGAAACCTGAGAGAGGACATAACGACCTAAAACCTGTAACCACAAAATACTGCCGCGCACTACTGCCCACTGCAAAAGTGGATGTGAACTACATGCCAGATCCACTATTCTGAGGATAACGCATATACTTTTCAAGACTGATGGTAAGTAGATATTCGCGGTTCGTATAATCGTATTCGCGCTACATAAAATGTGGATCAGAATAAATATTCCTCCCTGCAACTACATATATGTATGCTTACTTCCATGCGCGTGATGTTTATTATTAAGCTTAAAAGTATTAACATTAAAGATATATATTACACCCATTTTTTTTACAAATATGTTAAAATATATCGCGCGTGTTTATATTTTAAATAAGTTATATATACATATATATGATCCCGGCAATTAATTCGCATTTAGAGATTTCAACATTACAATCGAGCTGCTATGTGAAGTTGGCACCTTAAATGCGAATATTGGTAAAATCATTATTGCATTCGTTTGTCCACTGTTTGTCCACGTTTGTCCACCCATTATTTTCGTTTGTCCACCCTCCAAAAAAAAGTAATGTAAAAAAAAAATTGTAAAACTCCCAAGTGATTATTTTACACTATTACGAAAAATATAATAAACATAGGGTGGACAAACGAAAATAATGGGTGGACAAACGTGGACAAACGGTGGACAAACGAATGCAATAATGATTTTACCAATATTCGCATTTAAGGTGCCAACTTCACAAAGCAGCTCTGTAATGTTGAAATCTCTAAATGCGAATTAATTGCCGGGATCATATATATGTATATATAACTTATTTAAAATATAAACACGCGCGATATATTTTAACATATTTGTAAAAAAAATGGGTGTAATATATATCTTTAATGTTAATACTTTTAAGCTTAATAATAAACATCACGCGCATGGAAGTAAGCATACATATATGTAGTTGCAGGGAGGAATATTTATTCTGATCCACATTTTATGTAGCGCGAATACGATTATACGAACCGCGAATATCTACTTACCATCAGTCTTGAAAAGTATATGCGTTATCCTCAGAATAGTGGATCTGGCATGTAGTTCACATCCACTTTTGCAGTGGGCAGTAGTGCGCGGCAGTATTTTGTGGTTACAGGTTTTAGGTCGTTATGTCCTCTCTCAGGTTTCTCTCTGGTAGTACCTATACTGTGACCGCGTATCACATTACCGACTACTGATAAAGTCGTAGCATCGAAAATTTATAGGTTTGTTCGCGTCGCACGCTCTAACATGCTCCAATATGCTCCTATCACAACTCTTACTCTCTCCAATGTGCTCGTTGAAGTGAGCAAGAGCTATGGTAGGAGCATATTGGAGCATGTTGGAGCGTGCGACGCAAACAACCTTTATGTTATGCGAGCTCGCACTAAATTAAAAATTGACGTGATCTGTTCGATAAACAAATTTTATATGTAAAAATAATATGCGTATGAATAAAAACCTTAGAAACGTATTAGTCACATTTTTTGCTTACACGTAGTATTGTTGCCTAAACAGATCAATTGTCTATACAAGCACTTTTGTGTATAAAAATAAAATTGAGATAATAAGAATAGCGAAGGTTTGTTTTATGTATGTACATACATGCGTATTACAAATTGCCGCTACAAGCACTTAAACTATATATATATGTATATATATAAGAAAATAATTTGTAAAATTACAATATTTGTAGGACCGTTATTGGTATTCAAACACAAGTAAATATAAAAGGCCTAATGACGGTCAAGCAGGATTTTAAAATTCACACATTACTTTAGCAACCAAAATTCTGCTTGACCGTCATTACAGGCCTTTATTTACTTGTGTTAAAATATAATTTGTGTTTTTAAAATAGAGAATTTGCATATTTTAAAGCAGAGAATATATAATAGGATATATCAATAATTGAAACCAAAAACAAATTACCTAGTAAACGAAAATGGATTAAAATAAATTGGACATTTTATCCTATTCGAATACGTATTTTAAACGGCGAAAACTGTTTTTGGATTCAATTTGATTCAATTGTATGCAATTGGGTCGAACAACCAGTGTTTTCTATTCAAAATTTTGAATTGAACAGTAATCACGATGTACTGCGAAAAAACTGCAGATATTATTTAAGGATCGAAAGACATACAAATATAATATGCTTCGTACAATTCCTACAAATAAATAAAAATGTATTCAGAGGATTGAAAAAGATTCATTTTGACATTTATCATGAATCCGTATTTCTGAAAATCTGAATACATTTTAATTCAATCCAATCCATTCGTTTACTAGGTATATTAATATTTTTAATTAACACAGTTCTTGTTCGTTGATTTAATAGTACTTACATATAAATGATACAGTCATACATACAAAAATAATAGCAGACACATACATATCTAATTTTACAATAAGATACATTTACTGTTTGTTTTTTGAACACACGTTGAGTCAACTTACATTATGCGTCAATGCTTTTTCCTAAAAATAAAAATCGGAGTATAAGTCGAATGTAAAAGGAAAGAGTAACAGAAGCATTTATTATACTTTTTTTACAATTCATTTATTATTGATTTTTTCTTTTACATCCCAGTATCCGAGAATGGATTGGATTTTGTCTATTCGAATTCGTATTTTAAATAGCGAATACTTTTTTGTGGATTCAATTGAATTCAATTGGATTCAATTAGATTCAATTGGATACAACTGGATTGAAAACCTACATTTCCTATTCAAAACTATGAATTGAATAGTATTCACTATGGTCACAAACGCACCGAAAAAGCTAATATTATTTTATGATTGAAAAGTATACAGATATGCTCCATGCAATAAATGTGAATAAAAACGTATTCGGATTGAAAAGGATTCATTTTAACATTCATGAATCCGTATTTCTGAAAATTTGAATCCATTTCAATCCATTCTCGGATACTGGGATATATTGCGGGATTTAAGGTAATACACTTGCGAATAGGAAACAACTTATGCTCCAATTTCTATTCTCGTCAGAATTGTTGTCTGGCAGTGTTTAATTATATCTACTGGGAAATATCTATCTATACATATCATCTCTCAAAAAAAACGGTTCAACATTATAATTATTAAAAGTAGTTGTAATTGTACTTGATTGTTTATTCTATTAATACTTCCAGAGTCTTCTCTATTAAGGTTAGACTCCTGTGACCCTAAAAAATAAATAATTTTTTATATATCAAATATACAATGTTATAGGATATTACAATAAGTTATTATATGATTACGAGTATATAACAAATATAGGAGAACAAATGAGAATTTGCTAAGAGGGGAATTAAAACATTTTCTCATGAATCACCTGCTTTCGCATGTGTTTAAAAAGTTTTGATTGTCGCATGTAGCTCTTGTGACATATTGTACATTCATACGGCTTTATAAAGTCGTGTTTACACATAGTGTGTTTGTTTTTGCTAATTTTGGTTTTAAAGACTTCGCCACAAATCTAAAATGCAGCACATTTATAAGTACAGAAACGTAAAAACATTCAAATGAGTAATAATCAGAAAAAAAAATATCAACTATAATTTTGAAGCATATACCTCGCAAAAATATGGTTCGAGTTTTGTATGTATGTGTAAGTGAAATTTTAAGTGGTTAGGATAGACAAATGTAGCTAGACATGCGTCACATTTATATGGTCTTTCACACAAGTGGTTATAGTGTAAATGTTTATACATATCATATTGATTATCGAAACCATCCAAACAAGTATTGCAATTGTCACGTTCTTCACTGGGATCGTTCGGTATTAACATGTGATTTCTAAAATCCTGTTCACAACTGCAAAATATTTATTACCATTTCAAATCAATTAATTTAAGCACAGAGATCGAATTTTCAAATAATTCATGTTACTCACTTCTTGTTAGGTACTCACATAAATAATACTTCACAATACTCACATTGATAACATATTTCACCTGTATAATGAATTCTCTCGTGAATACGCAAACTCGATTTATACTTAAAGTCTTTTTTACACTCTTTACATTTATAGGGTTTAACATTATGTACTACTCCATTATGTATTACTCCATTATGTTCTTCCATTTAACTCAAGTTCCCCAAGAACTTTCTCAATTAATTTTATTGTAATGTTCCCTAAACTCTTTTTATAGTTCTCACGTTCTAAATTTTTTTGGACTTACTTTTAAGTTTATCCAAGTTTATCCTAAAACCATAAGAAAATGTAATTTTTTAATATCTTTATAAATTTTTTATCTAAGAAATGTATTATATCACGGGGAAGATTGCCATTAATTGTTTTACTCCATTAAAGAGCTCAATAGGTACACGACATGTAGAATTATCAAAAACGCATATACTAATTTTAATGGAGTCCGAATTTTATGTTTACATAATAAAAACTGTATGAAATTTTTGTCGAAGTCAGTCATCATCTTTTAGTCTATTTTATTGTTAAATTGATGTATTTTATCGTTTCTTCTTTTTTCTACTTTATATACATAAATAAAATATTAATTAAAATATGAAATTCAAAATACATTGAGAAACAGTAAAAATATAGTACTGTTAACGTATTCAAACGGAGTACAAATAAAAACATGTAAGTAAGAAATCATCATCAAGATTAAAAGTATCTTGTATAAATCGCTTATAAGTATGAAAAAATGAAATATTAGAAATAAAGCGTATAATTGTTTTATGATCTGATAAAAAGTAATTAAGAGAATTCAGTGAACAATACAAAATATCTAAAATCTATTTTATATTCGACAGTGAGAACAGATTAATTCCAGGCAACAAAATTATATTAAAATAAAAAGTAAAGTTGATATGAAAAGTAAAAAGAAAGAAAAACGCAATGACATATCAAAAGCAGATTAAATCATAAAGAAAGGGATGTTTGAAATTAACATCTGTTGTTGGATAATAAAATTGAAATTTTGATTTAATAAATTACAGCAATGCTCACAGCTTATTGTTAAACATAAAGTAATCAAGATTATTACGATTGGAATTTAAATTGTTTGCTGACAACAAACCTATACGCCAGAATCTTAAGAACAATTGAGCCAAGGCATGTACATGTATGATACGTGTATACTTATACATAGATATATATGTAGAGGAAAGCCACCGACATAGGTCGCTTAAATCGACATCCCCTTATTTTTCAGAGAAGCTAACTATTGCTCTTTATTAATATTAATAATAAAAAGTAATAAAAACATAATTCGTTTAACTAATTAAAGAAGTATAAACGCATAATACTATATTTGTGTGGCTTGTTTCTATACCAAATCAGTTAAAAACGAATTCTACGAATGCAAAAATAAAATTCTTATAATTTTCCTTTACAAATTGCGTAATTTAAATAATAGCAACTATATTATTGGTAATATTACGTCATTTTAAATGCTTTCTTAAATCAGTTTTATTTATATTTTTTTTTTCTTAGTTTTTTCATAATACGATTTTAAATATAAAAATAGGTTGTAACGTAAACTACCACATCTGTCTGTAAAATAAGCATTAACGCGTGAGCCAACTTTATGTTACTTTCAAACCGAATGAGACAATGCCGCAGCGGTCTAAGTTGGATCGCTGGTGCTTCTAAATAATTGCGTGTGAATTCATAAAAAACTATGTATGTAATTCTTCGATTGCGCGCCGAAACTTTTTTAAAACACAACACTAACAAAATTAAAACACGAGTTAAATTGACTAACAATTTAACGATTGTTAATGCTGTTTACATATCTTATATCGATCTTAATAATGTTGAATAACCTATTACAATAAAAACTTAAAAATAATTAAATACGTAAATAATTAAATTTTTTATTGCGAAAAATATTACCTCGGCCGGGAGTCGAACCTGGATCTCTGGTATTCCATGTGCGAGCATCCTAAACCTTTAGATTTAGACTATCGAGGCCTTAGTAATATTCTTCGCAATAATCTATATAAGTAAGTACAACGTCTATTTAGGCAACATAAATAAACAATATCAATTCTTATTGGACCGCTAAATTTCAAATTTACTTTATAATATAAAATAACTCTATTATTTTAGCTAAAGATAATCGTGCATATATAGGAAGATAAAGTAAATGTGCATGTAATTCAATAAAAATGTTTTATAACGAAGTGAAAAGATTCTAGAATATTCTTATATATTATAATCACTTGTACTTTAAACAGACAATAAGGAATTTGCGTAATTTTTGAAAATTATTGCATTCTATAATTTATATAGTATATATACATATATATACACATATATATAAATTATAGAATGTGTACAATATTTTATTACTAATATAATATTTTATTATTTATTTTCGTACATAATTTGCGTTAAAAAAGTAATTTAAAGTTAAAGATTCATTCTTTCGAATGATTTAAATCGCATTTGTGTAAAATTTTTAATTCGCGCTGTGGAACTTCACAAATTTCGTAAAAAATTTGGAAATTTGATGCATCTTCATTTATCTTTGTGTAACTCAATAAAATATTTGTAAGATCATTTTCTAAAAAGTATCGAGTTGGCGAGTGTAGATATATATTATGCATATATAAATTTTGAAATTTGATACATCTTTATTTATCTTTGTGTAACTTAATAAAATATTTGTAAGATCGTTTTCTAAAGTATCGAGTTGGCGAGTGTAGATATACAACAAAAAACGTAACATCTATTCTCTGCCCTATAAAGATAGACAAATTTCAAAATGGAACTTTTCGTGAAAAATTATCATATCGAGATGTTTAAAAAAGCATTTGAAAGCTTGAAATTTCTACTTTTCAGATCGATATTTTAGAAACGATCTTACAAATATTTTATTAAGTTTCACAAAGATAAATAAAGATAAAAACTTCAATTCATCAAATTTCAAAACTTTTTACGAAATTTGTAAAGTTCCACAGCGCGAATTAAAAATTTCACACAAATGCAGTTTAAAGCATTCAAAAGAGTAAATCTTTAACTTTAAATTACCTTTTTAACGCAAATTATACGTAAGAAAATAAATAATAAAATATTGTTTTTGAAATATGTATTTGAAATGCCGAAGACGGTCGGGATACGACCGAGTTCTCGCGAACGCGCTGTGACATCACACTACATGTTTGTATAGAAAACCAATATAACCTAAAACGTAAACTTTGAATGCCAAACGTAAAAACTAATTGTTTTGTTCTAGCTGATATAAAGTATATCGTTACTCTGAGAAAAAGAATTGTTTATTTTATTAAATTAATTTAGTTTGTTTTTATCTCTTTTGGTAAAGAATGTGTAAATTTAAATCGAACATATATTATTATATATATATATCACATAAATATACGTATAGTCTTCTTTAAAAGAAAAAAAAAATAAAAGTAAATTAATTTAATTTAGTCTCTCGGTTGAACAAAATTTTCAGTATAGGTTGCTATAGTCAACAATTTAGCATGTGTTGAAACAATAATGTGGTATATATATTTAACTCTTAATTAATACTTACTTTGACTATACACACGAAGTGTCTCATCCGCCGCGGGTTTCAGGTTAATTCTTTTTTATCCCTGTTAAGGATTTTTACACGCATGAATATATATCTATAATAAATATATTTAAACATGCATAAGTGTATATAAATAATAAGGTGGATCTTATTTACTCTTAATAAAAATTCTTTTTCAAAATTTTTCTACTCCCCGAAACGATTTGAATTTAAAAAAAAAATCTGTAAAACTGTAATCCGGATAAGAGGAATAACACGTGCCGCCCGTATCCTCAAACTTTATAAGAAAACAATAAAATCGATTTTCGTGAATATCTTTTAAGTTATTGAATATATCAGAAAAAGTTTCGAGCAAATAATTGAGTAGAATATAAAAATGCTCCTTATAATTCATATATCTATAACTTAAGTTATAAATAAGAAGCATTTTTATATTCTATTCATCTTTTTTGTATGACAAGCGGTTTTCGAAAAAAATTCAGGAAAGTGAGAAATATAATGAATATTGTTAGTGATCTTTTTAATTGACTTGAACATTTTTAATTGAGGAATAAAAATACATATATACTTAATTTTTAACCTTATCGAACGTGGCAGAACGTAGCATGATTCAGCGTGATTGCTGGTGACGTTATAGTGACTGCTCGATCCCTATATCCTATGACCTATGATGGCTGTGGCCTGTGGCTTTGTGAGACTCAACGTTTCAAAACCATCCAGAACATCAAATTTTATTTGATCGCCACCTCTCGGAAGGCATTGGCAAACCTCCTAGAATATCCTTTGTCATAGTCGTTCGGATTCGGCGTTAAATATTGTATAGGTCCCATATATCAGTGGATATAATACGTACATTCACTAACACGCATAGCAAACGTGACATTTTAACACCAAATTCCATCCTTTTAAAGAGAATAATAGAAAAGATTGGAAGAGACCATAATCTAGAAATGGATGAAATAAGGCTCATTTAGATAAATAGATATATTCCTATATTTTTAATCTTAAAAAATAAAAATTTTAAGTATAATTTTAAAAAAATTAAAAATTGTTGGTATAAAATACTGTATTAAAATTAACAAATAATTTCAACAAATAGGAAATAATGGCTATAACGGTCAAAGTTGAATTTTTTAATGCTTAAATAATTCAAACTGAATATGGAAAAAAGTGTTATATATATATATATTTCTTTTTTTAAAGCAACAAGTTATACAGTGTGTTACTCACGGCTTACAAATTGCGACTCTATTGTGTCACAGATCTATTCTACGACAGAATTGTAAGTCGTAATCCTTAAGAAATTGATTAATCACAGTTGAATATGAAAACAATAATCGACTATATGTTTAGTTAATTATTCTTATTGTAAAACAAGCATTACGCAAGTTAGGTTAGGGTATATCCACACAACTTGCATAGCCGCATAAACATAAAGAAAATTATCCAATCACATTTTACATATGCATCTTTATAAGAGAAATGCGATTAGATAATTTTTTTATGCATATACGTTTATGCAGTTATGCAACTTGTGTGGACACACCCTTATGTTGTATGTAAAAACAGCTTTTCAAAGCGCGTGCGTCGTAGACCGGTAGATTTGAGGTGTCCGATTGACCTAACCTAACGTAATTAAGATACACAACTAACACAACTGACAAAGTGCCGAGTTGATTTACGACTATCCAAACAATTGCGTGTTCAAATACATGTAATTTCGACTGATTGCAAACGAGATGGGTCGACGTAAAAGCAAACGGAAACCACCCAGCAAAAAGAAGGCCATTCAACCGTTGGACACACAATTCAATTGTCCGTTTTGTAATCACGAAAAATCGTGCGAGGTTAAGATGTAAGTGTACCTATTGTACTGAGAATACGTAATAACTTGATGAGAAAGGCGCTGATTACGCTGTACAATTATCTTTTTTTCGTTTTTTATTAATATGATTCCTTCAATTTCGTATCGAGGTAATGTGTTTGAATCTCGACTTATATTTATTTCCACTATTGTAGATTAAATTTAGGCCGCGGTATTCATAATCGATTTTTATATTTAAAATCGTTTCAAGTACAGTCTTAAGCTGATTTTACAATGAGTTTGAAGTCTTAGTCGATGAAGTTGGCCAATCAGTGTTAGTACAAGTTGGCTATTGGTCAACTTTAATAAGACTTATACTACTGACTACAGAGTCGTTGTAGAATCAATATGAACCAATCATATTACTTAAGCAATACTACTTAAGACAGTCTTAAAATAAGGACCGATTCAGAATACTGGTCTTATTAATGCCATCCTTAATCTTGGTCCACAATCTACACATAATTTTTTTCTAATTTTTAGAACTGGAAAGAAATGAATATTGAGTTAAAACAAGATTCATGTTGATCTATCATCAGTGGAACGGGTATAATTTTAAGAATTAAAAAAATTAACATTTAAATCGATATGAAAGTTAATTTTATGTTGATGGAATCGAGCTTTATCTTTACCGTTCATCTTTTTGTAATTTTAAGAAAGACAACCAATTAAGTTAAATCAAGATTAGTTAATCGTATATATTAATAGAATCAATTTTAAAAACTAGAAAAAGATGAAGAGTTGAACTAAGATTAAATTTAAACTATATTGGTAGAAACATGCACAGTTTTAAATCGAATCTCATTAGTCTATTGTTCCTGGAATGAATTAGAATTAAACCTTTTCATCTAAAATTCTTGACTTTTTAATTTTTAATAAACTAAAGTGAACCTGAAACCCATTGACAAGTTTATTGCTTATACATGGATATTTTGTCATCTCAAAAAACATAAAGCAACATTTAGCTTCTTGAATAATATTAGTTTTATCAACTCGGCATATATTTTAACAATCAAATTATTGTGGAAAAAATTCATTATTTAAGAATCCAGAGAGAGATTTATGATAACTTGGCATATTTGCAACAGAATAAGAAACTTAAATTTTTCTTCTCAAATTTTTTTCTTTATGACACCAGGGACAAGTCCAGGAATACTGCCAGGATAACCTGCAGGGTCTGCTTGGAGGACTTTCAGACAACTATCAATCTACTGTCGGAACCTTTGGATGTATATAATGATTGGATTGATGCCTGTGAAAATGCTAATTGAATATTAGAATTAATGTATTATATATATATATAATATATATATATATAATTCTATATATTATATTTTTAACATAACTGAATACCTTTATATTTTTATTTACATCATCTTCTGGTTTCATAATTATATTGCATGTGCAATAAAGGTGCATGTTTTAACATACTACTAAAGATGCGTTCAGAGGGAAATGCTACACTTTGAGTCAGTCGTTTTGAAGTTATCGAGATTTATATTATAAGATCCAGTCAACGAAAATCGGTAATTGGTCCAGCTAATGGATATGATCAGTAAATAGACCTTTTTAAACTCTACAACTTTTATCTAAAATATTTTTTATTTTTTATAATTTTGAGATATTTCGGTGTCAAAATTAAAATGAGACACTCAGAGTACATATAAATTAATTATATATAGATAATTATAAGTATATAGGTGTATCATTCGATTATTTTAATCTATTAATTATATTTTATTTTAGTATATCATTTATTATAAGTTTACAGTATATGTATACCGTACTGTATTATTGTGCAGTAATAATTTTATTCTTTATATATGATAAAGTAGGTATAGCATAAATCTCATGAATGTAAACATATATATATATTATATTCTATTAAATTGTTGTAAAGAGAAATTTCCCAGGAAGTTTTTGTTCAACAATTCTTCCCTTTACAATTTTACACTTAATATTTAGTAAAAAAAAAACGCCTCAATTAATATTATACAACAACATAAGATTTCATAGCGTTGACAATCGCGAATCGTGATTGTAAATTAAGAATTATTGAATTTTTAATATACTGACATATATATATATATAAAATAAAGTATATGTCATATGAAAAGTAAATAGTGTACATTTGATCCAAAATACAAAAAAGAAAATGATTTGGTAGATAGTTCAGTGAGAAAATGTAAGGTAGGTAAACATTTCAAACAAAAGAATCTATTAATCAGATAGTTAAAAATCAAGTAATAGCAAATAAATGTAATTTCGAATAAATAAACGACTACTGGAAGGAACGCGAGAAAATTCCACGTTTAACGTTATCAACGTTTTATTAGTGATCGTCATATTGTGAGTGGTCGTGATCGCTCCCTTCCCCCTGTCTTCATTTTTTAATAATAAAGATTTCCACTAGTCCTTAAAGGAGTCTTCTTATCTCCAAGTACAAGTAAGTTATCGGTATAAATTCTAGATAAACATTTCTATTCATTTCTACGAATGAACGCTGGATCAAATTTCTGTTCCGATCGTATATCATAATGGTGTTGTTTCGGAGAATTTCATAGCGCGTGAAACGGACTATTCTTGAAAGTACGCTTCTCTGGTAACCACGGCCAATGACGGCCAGTCGACCTCTGATATTCTCGCGAACGTTCGCTCGCTCCATCATCGGTGGCGGCCCGCGGCGGCGGCGGCAGTGGCGGTGCAACACGACGGTGACGGTGGTGCAGCCAAGATGGCGTTCGCCGAGCGGAGTACGCCGTCGGGTAGGAGCGCGTGAGAGAAAAAAGGAATGCCGCGGGGTGCTCGCGTGAGGTGCGAGGACCGGCCGACGGGAGTGCGTGCGCTCGGGAGTGCGTGGCCGCGCACCGGGTTTATTCGACGTTAACCTAAGAGCGCGGTGCGCGCGGGGAAACACATAGCAGCGCGGCGCGGATATATTTTTATTTACATCATCTTCTGGTTTCATAATTATATTGCATGTGCAATAAAGGTGCATGTTTTAACATACTACTAAAGATGCGTTCAGAGGGAAATGCTACACTTTGAGTCAGTCGTTTTGAAGTTATCGAGATTTATATTATAAGATCCAGTCAACGAAAATCGGTAATTGGTCCAGCTAATGGATATGATCAGTAAATAGACCTTTTTAAACTCTACAACTTTTATCTAAAATATTTTTTATTTTTTATAATTTTGAGATATTTCGGTGTCAAAATTAAAATGAGACACTCAGAGTACATATAAATTAATTATATATAGATAATTATAAGTATATAGGTGTATCATTCGATTATTTTAATCTATTAATTATATTTTATTTTAGTATATCATTTATTATAAGTTTACAGTATATGTATACCGTACTGTATTATTGTGCAGTAATAATTTTATTCTTTATATATGATAAAGTAGGTATAGCATAAATCTCATGAATGTAAACATATATATATATTATATTCTATTAAATTGTTGTAAAGAGAAATTTCCCAGGAAGTTTTTGTTCAACAATTCTTCCCTTTACAATTTTACACTTAATATTTAGTAAAAAAAAAACGCCTCAATTAATATTATACAACAACATAAGATTTCATAGCGTTGACAATCGCGAATCGTGATTGTAAATTAAGAATTATTGAATTTTTAATATACTGACATATATATATATATAAAATAAAGTATGTCATATGAAAAGTAAATAGTGTACATTTGATCCAAAATACAAAAAAGAAAATGATTTGGTAGATAGTTCAGTGAGAAAATGTAAGGTAGGTAAACATTTCAAACAAAAGAATCTATTAATCAGATAGTTAAAAATCAAGTAATAGCAAATAAATGTAATTTCGAATAAATAAACGACTACTGGAAGGAACGCGAGAAAATTCCACGTTTAACGTTATCAACGTTTTATTAGTGATCGTCATATTGTGAGTGGTCGTGATCGCTCCCTTCCCCCTGTCTTCATTTTTTAATAATAAAGATTTCCACTAGTCCTTAAAGGAGTCTTCTTATCTCCAAGTACAAGTAAGTTATCGGTATAAATTCTAGATAAACATTTCTATTCATTTCTACGAATGAACGCTGGATCAAATTTCTGTTCCGATCGTATATCATAATGGTGTTGTTTCGGAGAATTTCATAGCGCGTGAAACGGACTATTCTTGAAAGTACGCTTCTCTGGTAACCACGGCCAATGACGGCCAGTCGACCTCTGATATTCTCGCGAACGTTCGCTCGCTCCATCATCGGTGGCGGCCCGCGGCGGCGGCGGCAGTGGCGGTGCAACACGACGGTGACGGTGGTGCAGCCAAGATGGCGTTCGCCGAGCGGAGTACGCCGTCGGGTAGGAGCGCGTGAGAGAAAAAAGGAATGCCGCGGGGTGCTCGCGTGAGGTGCGAGGACCGGCCGACGGGAGTGCGTGCGCTCGGGAGTGCGTGGCCGCGCACCGGGTTTATTCGACGTTAACCTAAGAGCGCGGTGCGCGCGGGGAAACACATAGCAGCGCGGCGCGGCGCGGAGCGGCGTGGCGGCTTTAAGTGACGTAAAGCGCGGCGCGGTGTGGATTCGGCTCGCCTCGGCTCAGCGCGGCGCGGACGGGGACGGACTCTTCCTCGGCCGTCGCCGCTGGCATGGAAGCGACCCGGTCGCGAGGCCGAGCTCGTCGGACGTAAGACACGGTGACGGCCGCCACCGTTCGGTTACATGGGAACATGAAAACGGCAAGAATGCGACGACCGACCATGGCGTCCGTCGTACGCGCGTGATCGCCGATCAGGCGGCTGATCTGTGAAAAACGAAGAAGGGGGAAAGTGTGTATGTGTGGTGTGTGTGTGCAAGAGAGAGAGAGGAGAACATCAGGACGCGTCTACAACGAAACGGTGGATAGGGCACGCCGCGGAAGTGTAGTTAGACCCGCCGTGTAAACGTCATAAACAAACGTTCTGGCCTATCGCCTCTTATCTCCCATCCTCGCAGCTTCCTCTTCCGCACCGGTGCTTTCACGCTCGACTGCCACCGTCGTTACCGATCGTCATCGTTTTAAACACGTGTTCGTATTGTTCGACTCACGTGTACACGATGTCCTGTATTCGGGGCTGAGCCTACTGTTCGGCGGACGACGGTCATCGAGATCCTCATCGGTGAGCTGCGAGATTGTCGGATAGAAACTTGCGTCTATCCCATGTTGCTCGAAACAAATCGACTCCAAGAAGACACGAGAGTTACATTTGTGGTTCTCTCTTTCTTGGCGTCTCAAGTAGATTCAATGGATGTCGTATCTCTTAACACTATTTAGGAGGTATATATATATATATATATTAGATGATATCTAATTCTTAACTTTAGTATACATGATGATTTCCAGTCATTCGCTGCACACGATGGACTATTCGTGTCTCAGGTTAATTTTCATCACTTGAACAAATATATTATACAATAATTATTGAGCGATTCTTACATACTGTGTTTCAACATCTTCAGGAAGTAATTATGAGCTTGTGTGTTTAAAAAAAATTGTATATAAATGTTGTAACTTGACGTTTCTAGTTTTCCAAAAACAAAAAAGAAAGAGATATGCAAGATACGAATGACTCAATTGTATGTACTAAGGGTTAAGATAAGTATCACCACATGTTAGAATATTCCGAGAGATTAGAAAGCTTGGTTTTTATGTAGAAAGATTTCTGATATCATGTGCTATATGTAAAGCATTTTTTCAGAGGTTAAATAAATAGATTTACCATGCTGTGCATATTATTAAAATATTTTGTTTTATATAAAAGTTGAGAGAGAGAGAGAGAGAGAGAGAGAGAGAGAGAGAGAGAGAGAGAGAGAGAGAAGAGCTGTCGAAAATACACCAACTTCTTGTTAGTTTATTAAAAGCATTTATTTTATTAAGTTTATTATGTTAATCTAATATTCTAATGTATGGTTACATTACTAAAACTTAGAACTTTCTGAAGTATTTTTAGCATTGGTAGGTATATAACATTTTTTATGTTTACCTATAAAGATTATATGAGACTTTACTATTTCATCTATATCTTATCTCTTTATCAACATGTAACAGTTTCTAAACGCGTATGTTAAATAAAATAACATATCAAGAATATATATGTGTGTGTCGTTACAGGAAGGAAGAGGCATTTTGAATGACAATTAAACGATGTGAGTGTTAAGCTAATAGATGATTAGTATTGTGTTTAAACGTGTGAGACATTCCATATCAATAAAGTACATCTTGTGACTTTATGTATGATGCACCATGTCTAATAGTTTGGACAGCTTTCTCACACGCATAGGGGATGTCACGATTGAACGCGTGACTCCACGCGGTGGCCCCAAGCCTAGTGAAACGAATATTATGACTAGTGAGTCTGCGACAAGTGCAAACATGAATATTGAGCCACAGGCGACTAATGATGAGAGCTCGGACGAGTCGAGTGGCGAAACAACGGACGGCGAGCAGGAGAAGAAGCTCGATGCTTTGCAATCTGAGGAAATAGAAGAGATACGCTCGGAAGGTTCAGGGGACGATATGGATCTGGATGAAACGATTGATTCGCAGATCGGTGTGAGAGTAGAGTCGGAGAGACCACACCATCAGTCTCCAGAAGATGACGACGAAGAACAAGTTAATATTCTGGATACTCTACCACTGGAAGGTTAGTAAAAATATATATAATAGCATGTATTCAACATTTATTTTAACTTAGTGATATAAATTTTAAATCATGATATATTAATAAAATTTTCTGTTAAATTATTTTCAAATTAATTTTCATCTAATAATTTAATAATCTAATTAAATTAGATTAACAAATATTTTGGATTATTGGATCAATAAAATTCAATTTTTAATGAAATTCTATTTTAATTTAATCTAATTTTATATTTCTAACCTTTTATTCTGAATTTTGTTAATTCAATAATTATTTTTTAAATAATTAAATTATTTGGGCTAATAATAGATTATAAAATCTGAAAATTCGTTGTTTTGAAAACATGTGTTTTACGCTTTAGTCTAGAATACATATTATAATATAGATAAATATTAACTATTGCATGTATCATATATAATTTTTTAAATATTAAATTGTATAATATAATAATGTCATAAAAAATTATTTAGTTGAAGTATTGAAATGATTTTTATCATATTATTATTATATTTTAATACTTTTTATTCTTGTATTATCAAAAGGAGCGCCTATAGAAGGTCAAGAAGTATCTGAAGCTGATCTACTAGGAAAACCAATAACAAAGGATTCAGAAGATGAGGAAAGCATAGATAATGATAACGATAAGACGGATGGACAGTCGGGGGAGGAAGGCACTGACAGTAACAAGAGACACGCCGATTCCGATCATTCCGACAGCGCGAAGAAGAAAGCGAAGAAGGATGACGGTAGCACCGAGGGTAGCACGTCGGAATGTGAGTTGAAGTCGGAAAAGAAGCTGGCCAACATGCGAAGAAACATTCGGGAAGTGATGGACGAAACGCAACTGGACGAAGCCACCTTGTCCGCTCAGAGGCAGGAGATGGAACGTCTCAGGCGAGTGCAGGAGCAGCAGAGGATCATTCGTGAGGTGCAACGTCAGATAGCGATCAACCGACAGAATAAAGCGCAAACTCGCGTTATTAGTCTTCTGCAGGGCAAGCAGAATCAATCTGGCTCTACTATGATCTCCCAGTCGTCTTCCCCGTCATCGTCATTTCCGTCGGCGATGTCACCGTCCTCCACTCAAGTCCGTTTGCCAAACACCGTGCTATTGAAAGTGAACTCTGGCGCCGGCACCGGTGCACAAACTACTCAGATAACTGGCGGGATTCAAGCAGGACAGGCACAGAGGAGATCGATCGACAGTGGAATGCGCTGGCAGAAAGGTAGAGGCGGCTATCAGGGAGCACAGACATCTATTTCGCGTGTCCCGAATCGTTCCAGTGCACCTCATATGTTGCAGCAAAGGATCCGCATGATGACACCGTCCGTGAGTATATCGCCGGTGGTGCCTAAAAAGGAGCCGATAGATCGTGCAGACTATTATTCTGATTCCGAATTATCCGACATGGAAGCTGAAGAGGCAATGCGTTGTGAGAAGCAGATGCATGCCGCGCGGAAGATGGCCGGTGGACCCAAATACCAGAGACCGCAAAAAGGCAAAGATGTTGTGACAATATCTAGTTCAAGCGAGAGTTCGGACGACGATTGCATAGTTTTGAGCGATCCCAGTGGTGAGGAGGAAACTGACAACGAGGATGATCCATCCAACTCCGGGATGCACACCAATGATCGTTATAACATTCCAGACGAGCACGGTCGAGTATTGATCAACGTGGGTCATCCCGAGACCGAACCGGACGTGTATCTAGCACCACAAGTAGCTCGCATTATTAAGCCGCATCAGATCGGTGGCATACGCTTCCTCTTCGATAATATCATTGAAACGATCGAGAGGTATAAGACTAGCAGTGGCTTTGGCTGTATTCTAGCCCACAGTATGGGTCTAGGCAAGACCCTCCAAGTCGCCAGCTTTTGCGACATATTTTTTCGATGCACTACTGCCAAAACTGTTCTCTGTATTATGCCCATAAATACACTTCAAAATTGGCTGGCGGAGTTCAACATGTGGCTACCATACGAAGATCCCGCTACTACCGCCGAGAAGCAATCCAAAGTGACGAATGTCAAAATAGAACCGGGAATAGATATGAAGCACGAAGTAAAGGAAGAAAGTTGCGGCACTCAGAGCGACATGTCTAATATATCGCGGCCTATCAGCACAGAATCCGCGCACCGTTTTGGTCAAGACGCAACAACCGCTGTTGGTGCATCGCAACAATCAATGAACGTCATGTCAGAGAATCCGTACGCAAATTCCCATCACGGTTACGAACAGCGCAACATGATGCCGAGTTACATACAGGATCCTACTATGATGAATAAGAACATAGCTGAGTCTCAAATATCGCATATGCCACCGAATTATCATCAAGGCGAGGTGTCACAGAATCCATTGTATAACACGAATCCGAATCCGCTTTCCAACTTTTCCGATCAGATGAAGCCAGATCCAGGAAACTGTCATGGTATGCCACCCGGGCAGAACATGGCGGGGCCAAAATTCGGCATGGAAAATCAGGCTACTGGTGTTATGTATCCTGGTATGGAGAATCAGCCGCCGGGTATTCCCATGTATTCCAGTATGGAGAATCGAAATTCCGCGACGATGTATCCGGGTATGGATAATCATCATCCCAATCCAATGTATTCTAATTACAACAACATTCCCGGCACTTTCACGAGCTATGGCAGTCAGACGAATCAACAAGAATTAGAACGAGAACCGAAGAAAGAAAACATGCTGCCAGGAGGAATGTCACTTCAAAATACGGAGGTGACTGTGAAGAAAGAACCGGAAGATATCATAAAAAAAGAAGAGGGCACCTCAACAACGAAAGAGGAATTAACGGATGAGAAAAAAGAAACGATAGAGAAAGTGAAAACACCGTACAACGTGGACACGCCAATTGGCATGGAAGTACGCCCGAGGCATTTCCACTTACACATTTTGAACGATTCGCATAAAACTATGAACGCGAGAGCGAAGGTGATACAAGAATGGCAATCAAACGGTGGAGTTTTGTTAATAGGATACGAATTGTATAGACAATTATCTTTGAAAAAACCGAATAAGGCGAAACGGAAACGCGGACAACCTTTCAAAGACACGGTAGACGTGGAGGAGGAGGACAAAAACAAAGGTTTACTGGACGAGATGCATACGGCTCTGGTGAATCCTGGACCGGACCTGGTAATCTGCGATGAAGGTCATCGAATCAAGAATTCACATGCGAGCATCAGCATGGCATTGAAGCAAATGCGCACGAAACGTAGAATTGTACTAACCGGTTATCCATTACAGAACAATCTACTAGAGTATTGGTGCATGGTAGACTTTGTGAGGCCTAATTATCTAGGTACCAAGAGTGAGTTTTGCAACATGTTCGAGAGACCGATACAGAACGGCCAATGTATTGACTCCACACCGCAGGATATACGCTTGATGCGATATCGCGCACACGTATTGCACGCTTTGCTGGAGGGTTTTGTGCAGAGGAGATCTCATTCCGTGTTGCAAATGTCGTTGCCGCGCAAGGAGGAATACATTCTCTTAGTCAGGATGACGCCTCATCAACGCAAATTATACGATACGTTTATGAATCAGGTGGTAAAAACGCGCGCGGTACCGAATCCATTGAAAGCTTTTGCAGTGTGCTGTAAGATCTGGAATCATCCAGACATCCTGTACCATTTTCTCCGTAAGCGTCAAGCGAACGAGGAAGATGATTTAGATCTCGAGGAAACGATGGGAGAGAAATCCACAGCGGGTGGCAAGAAATCAAAAGCGCGTCAACCGAAAGGGGAGTCCAAAAAATCCAAGAAGGGCACGACGATAAAGAACAAGCCCGCAGCTAGCGTACAACCGAACGCTTCTTCATCGTCAAGCAACGATAATGCGGAGGCTGAAAATACGCACAATACTCCGAAACAAAATAATTACACTAACTATACGATGCCTGTTTCCAACTCGGGATATTCTAACAACATGCCGCAAGGATCTTATCCTCCTCAAAATTATCAAAACTATCGTCCGAATGATCAAAATACATACTATAGAAACGATAACAACAATCACGGAGAATATAATCAAGGAGAGTTCTATAATAATCAAGGACAACAAAGGTATGGTAATCAACAATCGTTTCAGTCATATACTACTCAGACATCAACAAACTATAATACGTCGCAAGGATACGCCAATCAATCACAAAACTATATGCAATCGAACGAGCAGTCCACGAATCATCCTCAGAGGTACAGTGGTGCAGCGACTGGATCCGATTTCCGGTCGGATCAGAATCAAGGAAATAATTACGAAGCACCTGGAATGTTTCCACGGCAAAATTATCCCTATCAGGATCAGCAACGTAATTATACACCAAATCTAAACCAAGGGCCTAGTAATTATCCCCAGGTTCCCAATCAACCATCTTTCCAGTCTCAGATGCCGAATCAGTCCGCGAATATGCCGATGCAGGATTACTCGTCATACACCACGAATCAAAATCAAAATTATCCGCCGACGCCGGCTCAGGCAAATCCAATGTATCCGCGTAACGATGCGCAACCACTGCAAAACTCGACGATGGGATATCCGGCATCTCAGCAAAGTCAACCACCGGTTGTTCAAACACAGACTTCTGGTTACATGGCACCGCAGCAAAGCCAGAATACATCACCTGGTCAAAGTCGTGGCTTCTCGCCGAATCAACAGAATCAGAATCTAGGTTTACAGAATCAATCTCATCCATATGCAAATCAGCAACCGCAAGGTGTGCCTCTTCAGGGTCAGACACATAGCTATTCTACGCAAGTAAATCCGACTCCTCCACAGACTCCGCATGCATTTAATCAACAGTCGGCTCCAATGGCACAAACCCCATCACACGGTTATATGCAGCCGAACCAACCGAATCAAGGACCCATTCAACAGGGTTCGATGCGCGGCTATACTTCGGCACCACAGAGTCAAATGAATGTAACTCAAAATCAACCCAATTACTCGGCCAATCAATCTACGCAAAACGTCAATGCACAGAATCAAACACATAGGTATCCTATCAATCCTCCAGATCAATCAAGCCAAGCGCCAAATCCGCAGAATGCAGTTCATGGTTATGGCCATCATATGGTTCCCCAATCTGCAACTTCCAATCAGGCAGGACCATATCCTCAGCAGAACCAGTCGGGTACGACGGTACCACCATCGAATCAGACTCATCCTGCTTACCCGTCAAATCATCCAGGCACAGGAACGATGCCACAAAATCCCGCACATCGATACGGAGCCACGCAACAGACACAAGTGGCACAAAATCAACCTATGGCATATCCGTCGAATCAACAACAAGCTAATCCATCTTTGGGTCAGAGTGATCAACTTTATCCTAGGCAAGATGCCGCAGTGTCGCAGCAAACGCAGAGTTACACTCCAAATGAATTTTCGAACGATCGTTCGAGCGCAAGCACCGCCGGTAATTCTGGTAATAATTATACCGCTAACCAACCGCATACGCAGAATCCCGTTATGCCGAATTATCCATCAGACAGCTCACATCAGAATCCGGCGGCGATCGGACAGATCAAGGAGGAGCCTTATTATATGCAGCGCAATTATTCGCAGACGTTCCGATCGGATCAGCAATGCAGCGATTCATACTACAGAGATCAGATGAATCCCGGCATGAACCGTTATCCAAACAACTACTTCCCGTCGCAGAATTATCCGAATCAATCGTATGACTATGCTACCGGTCATGGCACGGATATAAATCCACGGTCTGACGAATCCAAGACGTCACAACAACCTGTCGGTGCTCATCCTCCCAGTACGCCGTGTGAGAAGAGCAACAAAGATATGACATCCAACATGGGTGTACAGAGTCAACCATTACATCAAAATAATCTCACCAGCACGGCAAGCTACACTGCAGAACCAAGTCGTCAGAGTTCAGCGACTCCTGCTCCCAGATCGGGACCAGGAATTAATCCGGCACACAGTCCTCGATTAAATCAGAGCGAACTGACGAAGGAAGAGGAGAGAGAAAAAGAAGACCAAGTAGAGAAAGATAAAGAGGATAAATCTGACGATGAAATTCTCACGAAAGACGAGGAGAAAGATTGCAAGAGTTCTCCTAGTTCGAAAGAAGATCCTGGAATTCCATATGACTGGGTATGTATCAATGTATCATTAGAATATATATTAATCGTTTCGTTTCAATATATATTAAATAATGGAAATATTTGATTTTATAAAATATAGGTTAAAATTTTTATAAACGTGTTGAATTTAATCATTATTTTATATTTTTACACAGTAAGTCTATAATGTTTATTTTTATTATAGGCAACAGAGTTGATGAAGGGATACGTACCCGGATTGATAGATGCATCTGGAAAAATGACACTCTTCTTCTGTATCCTCGAGGAAGCTATTAAACTAGGGGATCGCGTACTTGCATTCTCGCAATCGCTATTCACATTGAATCTCATAGAAGATTTTTTAGCTCGAAATAACTTCAAATATCCGGATGGTCAAATCGATGGCTGGGTTAAAAATGTGAATTATTATAGACTAGACGGAAGCACCAGCGCGCTAGAGCGAGAAAAGTTAATTAATGAATTCAATAATAATCCAAAGATTCACCTCTTCCTTGTTTCCACACGTGCTGGTTCGCTGGGTATCAATCTTGTCGGTGCGAATCGCGCGATCGTATTTGATGCTTCCTGGAATCCTTGTCATGATACGCAAGCTGTATGCAGAGTCTACCGATACGGCCAACAAAAGCAGTGTTTTGTTTATCGATTGGTCACCGATAACTGTCTGGAAAGAAAGATCTATGATCGACAAATTAGTAAACAGGGAATGGCAGACCGTGTAGTCGATCAGTGCAATCCTGATGCGCATCTTTCGCTAAAAGAAGCGACGACGTTATCGTGGGATTGGGAAGAGGACAGTCAAGTGCAGGATTTCTCACAGACCAAGGATAGCTATACGGATGAAGTTATGCATTGTGTATTAGAACGCTTTTCTTCGTTGCTCACCAAACAACCATTTCATCATGAGAGTTTGCTGGTTGATCGGAAGGATAAGAAGCTCAGTCAAGCTGAGAAACGATTGGCTCGTCGCGGCTATGAGCTTGAGAAAATGGCAGCGAATTGTTCTAGGCCCAGTTATAACTATGTTCCTGGAAATACAGCCACTCGAGGTACAGTTTATATTCAAGATAGAAACTTTATTTTAAGTCAGCATTTTTAATCTTTTTCCATATTAAATAACAAGCTTTTCTCGAAGTACATTATGAGGTGCACACTCTTCAGCGTTTGGCACAAATCTTTTAATAAATAATAATAACATTCAGAAAAATAAAAAGTTCTAACATTTTAATTCATTTTATCATTTTAAAAATGATCTTATTGCAATAATGATATCATTTTGGCTATACAATAAGAGTAAAAGTGTAATTTAGATAATTTTCACAATTTGTAAAGCATTTTTTACTTTGCGTCTCTCACTTGCTTTTATAGTTATTTCTAAATTTTTCTTTTTTTATCTTCTAAAATATTTGCAGCACACTAGAATGTCGCAGCATATTAGTTGAATCAACCTTGTTTTAAGTCAAAAGATAATTGTGCTCTGTATATATACACACATACATTGATTATTTATTCTAGCAGGTGGATTACAAATTAGAGCAATTCGTGGTGGTGATGGTGGACCTACGCCGAAACCAGTTGCTTCTGTCAGACCTATGCAACAGCGTGGTGCTGAAGGATTAAATCCGCGAGGAGTTACTGGTAGCAGATGGATTCCAGCGGAAGTATGGCAGAGACAAGGAATGAGTGCACAAGAGATGACACTACCTCTAGATGTAGTTATACCGACAAATTCTCCGGACAAAGGAAGTATCGTTCTAAAAGCGGGTCAACGGGTAATGGTACTAAAGAGTCCAAAAGGTATTTACATGCAGCTTGAATCCGGCAAAATTATAGCAATTCGTACTGCGCTTAAATTAAATCAACAAAAGCGAGAGGAGGAGCCAAAGAAAGGTGAGTTAAATTAGTATAATATTAATAATTATTAAAAAATATATATAATATAGAATGGTTCAAGTAATATAAATCAAATAAAAGTATGTCGAGAAGGGCTATGTGCCAGTTATAATTTTGATACTTAAAACAAAAGATTTATTGTTCGTACAATTTGATAAAAGGATGTTTGTTCTGTCTGTTGTTTATATTTTCATCTTAACTGTTATTACGAACAATAAACTTTTTGCTTTAAGTATCAAAATTATAACTGGCTCATAGCAAAATTATAACTGGCCCTTCTCAACATGCTTCTATTTATTTTAATAATTATTCTTAAATATTATACATCATTTGAAAATTTAATTTTTAAATTGCAGGAGTTTCTATGATACAGAGGAATTCTAAGTCCGAGGTTGGCTTTCCCTTGCGGAATAATTCGGCTATTTCCATAATACCCAAGTCATCCTCTAGTAATCAAAGCGGCCGACCTCTTAATAAACCATCACCGAGCCCGGGTTATAAACCATTTGGCGATAAGGAAATTTCTAGGAGGCCCAAACCGGTTGCTACAGCGACAGCTAAACCTTATTTAAGTCAAGTTAACTTGACCAATCAAGTTTCCCTATCGAGAATACCCAAAGTCAAGCAAGAGCCAATGGATCATTCTACGCTCGGGGACAACTCCAACTCGTCCGACGGTCAACTGAGAACCGAGCAACGTGTTGAGGAAGTCAGATTGGAAGATGTGGTGGCTGAAGTAAGCTCAAACACCGAATATAGCCCTTCTAATCATACCCGTACCACTAATTCGGATACGGATACATCCCTGCCGAAATCTTCTGAGGAAGGCACTCAGGTTTACACCCCTGATACCGTTTCTCTTGCACAAGGCGTTCAAACACAACATGATCAGTCTGAATCAGAAATGCCGCCAACTGCTGACAAGCAGTGTTCGCCATCGGAGAAGGAATCTTCTAAGCCAGATGAACTAACAAACTACGGTCGTTCCTTCCATAGTCAAACGGAGAAGCGAGAGACTTCCAATGAGGATACCGTTATTGAAGAAGCGTCTCAAACGCCACAAATGACACCACAGGTTGCGACACAAACACACCCGATTGCTCCTGGTCCGATGCCTTCTCTGTTAACACAACCAGTACCATCATCCATGCCGGTACCATCGACTATGTCGATACCACCAAGCTTACCAGTACCATCAAGTATGCCTCCGAATATGCCACCGAGCATGCCGATACCATCAAACATGCCTCCAAGTTTACCACCGAACATGCCGGTATCATCGAACATACCACCGTCGAATATGTCTGTGTCATCGAGCATACCGCCAAGCATGCCAATATCGAGTATGTCGTCAAGTATACCATCAAGTATACCATCGAATATGCCAGTAACAAATATGTCACCGAGCATATCATCGAATATGCCAATACCATCGAGTATGCCGAGCATACCAGTATCTTCAAGCATACCGATATCATCGAATGTACCGGTACCGTCCGTATCTGCAAGAGGCTCGGAAGCACCTAAAAGTATTACCGATTCAATCGCCAATGCAACATCGACTGCTTCCGTATGTACTAGCACTAATATTACTTCGCCGAAAAGCGCCGAGCCGACTCTAAGCATGCGAGACAACATGATCCAGGGTGATCCGACGCCGAGTGTACCCCAGGGATATCCCTACGCTCAATACCCGAGATACTATGATTACAGCGATCCACGATCTCGCTCGCTGTCTAATCCCTATGGCACTTACTTCCCCGGCGTTCCACCGCACACGGCAAATCCCAGCAGTAGACTGCCAGTAGACACGACGAAGCCTCAGCCGGACTTAGGCAAGCCTATGGACGAGAGGAACGTGATGAACGTGCCTACCGCTTACTCTTCTCAAATACCGAGCATTACTGCCAAAACGCTAACGAACAATTCCGCGACAGAGTCTAAGGGTACAGACAGCACGACGGTGACTACCACGGTTGCCTCATCGAGCAGAGACGAGACACATATACCTACCGCATTTAGTCATCCTACTAACACGCGGTATCCAGCTGGACCGTATCCACCGGGCCCGTATGATCCGTACTCGCAGCATTATCCACCGGCGCCTGGCTCTTCCGCAGCTTATCCTCCAGGTGGTAAGTCTTTTAAGAGTCATTGTAAAGTAAAATGGGAAGTAAGGTATTATCATCTCTATCCATCAAATTTAATTTTATCGATATTTTTTTAATTTTTTTAAAACGCTCTCTCTTGGTATTTAATAAATATATCAATGTCTTTTGAAAATGTTATTCGATTATAGAATATTAATAATAATTTAATCTGCAGGAGCACCCGGTTACCCAGCATATGGTGGACCCAGTTACAACCCAGATTATGCTCGCATGTACTCGGCATTCCATGGTCCGCCACCCCCGACGGATCCTTATATGCATAGAGGATACGCCCCTCCTTCTTCGCATCCCCCTAATTATTATACGCCGTTCCCGCATCCTCCGCCACCTTATCCTAATTATTCGTTCCTGCCGTATCCGAATCCGAATATGTCCAGCGAGCCTCAACCACCTGCTCAGTAGGAAAGCAACGTGTTTAAGGATAATCCTGAGTTAATGACAGCGAAAAACAAGAAAGTTGTCACAAAGACTCAAAGCCGCAGTTGCGAAGCTTAATAGACTGAAGTTGTAAAACGCATCGATGTAAATATTTAGTCAGAAATATTGAGATATTAAGAAGATATTTGATGGCAGGTATTCGAATACTTCGTAATACCGATATGTAATGTGGAAGACGAGCGCAATCGCCGTCAACATTGAACTGTGCAATCTGTTGAAATGTTCAGAATATTTTAACTCTTGACTTTGTCGACGCTGTTCTTACGATGCGTTTTTGTTCACTAGTTAATTACAAGAATATGTACTCGTCAAGCAGTACAAATTATTCCTTTGTTTGATTCTCCAGTTTCATAAAAGCGACGTCAAATGAGATTTTTAACGAGTGCTTAGACGACTGCAATTTAGATTGCAATGTGTTTCATACATAATTGCGTTCTTCGTGACTTTTTCTACTTTTTGTACTTGCGCGCTGTGCTTTATCTGATTAGCTTTTTATCGATTAAACTGATGAGTTATTGACGCACATGATTCTGAGAAGATTGACAGAGGTGTAAATTGTACTATTAGCACGATGGATGGTAAAGGAGGAGCGCTGTATATTATCGTTTAGCTTCACGTGTTACATTCAATCACTTAGCTCATTTTTATACATGATTTTGTAACAAAGAGGGGGATGGTCATTTCAACAAAACAAAATTCTCTTTCTAACAGTAAGAATGATTGACGATATCCATGACGCATTTGTTCTCAATTTGTAAGATCCAAAAATTAGAAATAGCATAATTAAAAAAAGATTTTAAGTTACATTTTTTTCAAGACAAGAATTACGATATTAATAATTATTTTTTATTTTTTGGGTAATAGAGTCTATATATAAGAATTTATTCTTGTATTAGCTTTTATACTTTCTTTTTTTTTTTTTTTACCATATAACTTTGCACGCTGATTCTCTTGATTTTGATCTATTTGAAATTCTCTTGATTTTGAAGAGGAAATAAAAACTTGTATAGAGAAAACTTATACAGAAAAAACATCCATGACAAATTTTTTGCTATTTTGTATTTTATGGATTAATCCCCCTTCATACGGCAAGAGTAATGAATATATGCAAGCTAAGCCATTTACATTATGAATCTATATTATAAAATGCAGATTGACATTTTTTCGCGCATAAACCGTGTTAGTATATACTGTCCAGTGAGATACTTTCTTCTAATACATCATACAAACTTCTATTTTCTTACGCATCATAAAAAAAAAAATTTATACTATAACGCAACTCTTGATGATTCGATGCTTTTATCCTGAAATTTTTTCTCTAAAGATCTGTATAGAAAGTTCCGTTTTCTTTCACATGAATCATGATTGTTCTAGTTGTATTTTTTATTCCTTTTTGAGAGGTTTTGTTTTACGATACTTCGATTGGAATTATTATTAGGAATTCGAAGAAACTATACATGTTCCAAGTATCCGTTTAGATGATAATTATATTATTTAGGTATTCACACTATTCATTATTTAAATAATAAATTAAATAATTTTGCTAGAAAGGATTTCAGGGCGAAAATGATGGATCATACAGAGTTAAGTTTGATTTGCATTATACATCACTCTTCCGTAAATATCCTCTTTCTTTCACAATGCGCGTCATATTATCTATACTTTTTCTTGACGAACGCCGAAATCAGTTGCTGTTCTTCGCAGTGCATGTCACGCCGCGTCTACGTATCTCAAACCATTTTTCACATACATTTAAACACGTAACACATACGTACATACAGTATTCATGGAACATTTAGCAGCCAGTAAATTACAGTCTACAGCATCCCTAGCGAGTTGTATATGGACTACGTATTATACTATTAAACGTTACGGTTTCCGAAATAGATAATCTTACAGTAGAGCGTAGGATTGTTGTTAACTAGGAATGTCTTACGACTTATGAAAAAAAGAGGGGGAAAAAAAAGCAAGGAACTCGCCGTCTCTTGGACGCGTAATGTAAGCGTTAAGGGGAGAGCCATGATTTTCAGGAGCGACTCTTCAGACTCGGAACTGTGATATTTTATTATTAATCTCGTGTCGAATTCGCGCTGCACGCTCTTGCCCGGAATCGAAGTCGCCTGATCTTGGCTTCGGCGGGAATTTCGCGGGCGGGTCCGAAGATTCTTCTCCCGACCCGCCCACGCGACACTCGGTCGAAATTGTTGCATTTACGTTAGCGTAAGTCAATCGGATGCACGAGATGACTAATCCGTTTTTCCAAGTGGGACGCAGAGGCGCGCACGGGTCTATCATGGTGCTCCCTGTATACATTATTACGGACCAGTGGTATTCAACCCCTTTTAACCCAATCAATCCCGATAGTATCCCCTTTTGAAACATATTTTTTTTTCTCCCTCTCTCTCCTCCCTTAGAATTTTATATATTCTTCCGAAGAGATCTTCTCGATCTTTTATAGATCTTTTTTTTCTATGACGTTTTATATTCCTGTTTAGTACCGCGTCTTTACCGAGTTTCCCTCGCGCGTTTTAAGAATGATGCATTCTTGCAGAAATATCCAATTTAATACTGGTTAATTGATTATTGACAATTATTTATTTTGAGCGTTACAAACACAACAATGTTTTTAATATACTAAAAATAAGTAGGTAATTATTACTTTTTATTATTAAATTTTTTTATAACGTGAAACAACTCTCCCCACACAAATTCTTCAGAACTCTATCGGTATAAAGTATTTATCTTCTTTTTTTTTTTTGGATACACGTACTTACCAAAGTTCTCTTTTAGCAGATCGCGCCTGCGGATCCTCTTAGAGTGCGAAAATTCTCGACGCCCTTTTAGGGGCACTCCAGGTTGAATACCTCTGATTATAGGCGAATTATTCTAGCGAGATAAGCGTTTATGATGGATATATGATTAGTAATACTATGTCTCCTGTGGCGGGTCTCGGTGTTGTCTGTTTGCTGCGCAATGAGACGCGATGTTTCCCACCCATCATCTCCTTCCTTCAGCCCTTTGTTTACTTGGACGCGTCGCAGCCGTACGTTTCGTAGATTCTAAGTGTACAGGTGTTACGTTTAAGCGCGACGCTCAAGTAAGCTGTGCAATCCCTTGCGAACAGATGACAGGGAGACTATCGCGTAAAAATACGCGCACGAGAAGAGCCGAGAATTGTATCAAATTGTTCTGATAGCGGTCGCGGAATTTCGAAGTAATATCCAGAATTTTCGCGGGTCGTCGCCGATTTGTCTACCCCTAAATGCGAGTTGTCGAGTTCTATTTCAGACATGTAACATAAAGATTGTCCTCGATGTTGTAAATTGGAAATCATGCGGTCATAGCGCTGAACGCGACGACCCGGTTCTGTTCACGAAACTTGACTAATTGCATTTGATGTTATTCGCGTTATTAATTATCTGAGGCTAAATGTGGATTATGAATACAAGTTGACATAATACTCTTGTAACAATTAATGATCTTAATTGGTTCATTATACGTATAATTTATGTAATTTATTATATAATTCTTTATATAATTTATTGTATACAATTATATGTATAATTATATCAGAGCTGTATTTTGTTGTTCACCGCAGATCATTGAAAATCTATAATGTGAACTATATATATTTTCATTATTCATAGTAAATAATGGAATGGACTATATTATTTTTAATTAAATGAAGAAACAAAGTGAAGATACGTCTTCAGACTTTTGAGTATCGACTTGCACCACTCTCAGAACAAAAAAAAAAGCGGCTCATATATTTGCAGAAAAAAAATCAATTATTTCATTTCTGTTAGCTTTTTTGCCATTTACATACTTGTACATACCCATTATTTACATTTCACTCTTTATTTATTATTATACATTAGCCATTATTATCGCTTTTTTTCGATGTCAGAGTATTACCCTTATGTAAAATAAATTGTTTACACAATGATGAGAAAATTATTTTGCTCATTATATTATTATGCAATGCTAGAGAGAGAGAGAGAAAATGAAAGCCTCTACGTATATTTGTTTTTTTATAACATTTATTCTTATACATCTAAAAACAGGAATTAGCTTCCAACAGGTCTGTGTTTTCGTTGTATCTTTAAATACGACCGTCTGATTTAAAGAGTTAGAGGCTATTTTTATTCGGAAAATTTCTTGAGAAATTGCTTAAAACATTGTCCAATAGACAATAAATAAGTCCAAGAAATATAGAAAATTGTAAAAATTGTGGTCATAGAACTTTAGAAATTAATGATTGTGGTCGAGATTTATAGGCGGATTTTTCTGTGGCGCACTACGCTTCGGAATATCAAAAGAAGCTCAAGCAGAACACAAGTCATGACATTAAAAAGACGTCAGAATGTTTCTCAAATAATTGCCAAAAGTCACTTTTCAATCAGTAGGTAACGAATGTAACAATTCATATTAACGCCAATTTAAATTTTTTGTTTTGTTCGAGAAACGTTATCTGTGCAAGAAATCACGGCAATTTAATAAGTGACATATCACATGTCATAACATTCAATGAATCTCATTTAATTTATTTAATTGTAGCACAATTATGATGACGCGAAAGTCTGGAAGGGGCGTCAGACGGTCGCATTCAGCGTGCGGCGAAAATGCATGTTTCGCGATCCACGTGTGTGTAAATGTTTATAATATCGTAAAGGATAATTTATGCGGAGTCAACATTATGGGATTATTAAGCGAACAAATTCTTCTGATCAGTGTGAGATTCAATCTTCAGTCTTTCAATCCAAAATTCTACATCGACGTGATAAAAGATTTTCGCGGCGCACGTTCTTCGTCTGTACACGTTAAGATGACTAAATGCATGTTACATGCAGATTCGGTTTATTGAAGAGTTAATTATAATAAATTTGCTAGCGCGTGCGGAGGATTAACAGATGCTCTGTGTCGCAGTCTCTTTCATTTTTTTTAACAAGCTTTGCGTTTCACTG